GTGTGTGTGTGTGTGTGTGTGTGTGTTTAGGATCAATGAAAACAACTGGTCTTAAATCTTACTATATTTTAGTTTAAGATTATATGTTTCTGACCTTTGAACTGTTTACGTACAGCTGTATCAGGACAGTTAACTGTTTTATTCAAGAGTAAACTTTAAAAATGTCATTCCTATAATCAAAATGAATTATCCTTGGATTTTTATACATTTGTTTTGGTATTCATTATAATCAAGTATTCAAGCATATTTGAATATCTTTAAAGTTTTAATTGATAACTTAAATTGAGTTTTTTTTTAATGTAAGTTTTATTACTTCCTATCTTTTTTCTATATGAATTTTTGGAAAACAATGCGTTAGTTAATTTACTTGGGGGCCGTTGGCACAGATTCCTATTAGAACTTAATATTTTCATTGCTTTTGGAAGAAGTAAATTTCATGGTGATAAATATCAATTAAGTATGTGTATTATTATTTATTTTTCACCTCATGTAATTGGTATTTTTTTGTGGTAACATTTAAAATATGCTCTTTTAAGAAATATCAAATGTACAATACACATTACTAACCGTAGTCACCATGCAGTATACTAGATCTCCAGAAGAGATTTATCTTGCATAACTGAAATGTCGCACCCTGAGACCAAACATGTCCCCATCCCCCTCCCCCTGACTCCCTGCCCTGAAAGTTACCATTTTACTCTCTGCTTCTGTGGATGTGACTGTTTTAGATCCACATATAAGTGAAATTATGCATCATTTATCTTTCTGTGTCTGGCTTATTTCACTTGGCACTTTGTCCTTTGGGTTCATTCATGTCACAAATAGACTTACGTTTTTTTTTTTAATGAATGAATACTTTTCCCTTGTATGTAGATACCTTGTATATATGTTTTCTTTCGTCTTTCATCCATGGATGGATACTTGGGTGGCTTCCCTGTTTTGGCATTGTGAATAATACTGGAATTAACCTAGAAGTGCAGATATTTTTTTCAAGATACCGATATCATTTATTTTGGATATATACCCAGAAGCGGAATTGCTAGATCATATGGTAGTTCTATTTTTAGTTTTTTGAGGAACCTCCATATGTTTTCCATGGCTGTACCAATTTACATTCAAATACGGCTTTTTAAGGACCTTTTTTTTTTGCTACGCTTTGAGAGAATATTCTCTGCCTTGAAACAGGTTGTGCTCGGGTAAATACTAATATTAGGTGAGTTAAATAAGATCCCAGTTGGAGGAATTGGAATGAAACGAAATTCCTTCCACTGTGCTTTTCGTCCTCTTTCGTTCAGTCGCTCCCTTGCCTTAGACGCCTTACACGCTTTCTCTCTTCACCAGCTGGAAGTCTGCACAAGCCAGTCCCTTATCACAAGGAGAAAGTCAGAAGGTGCTTCTACGTCTGTTGTCTCATCCATTGCTACAAGTGAAAGTTGAGACTTACCACTGCTGTCTCGAAATTGTTAAGGTGACTTTTTTGTTTTTTAATTGGGGGGAGAACTAACAGTGAATTCTCTTCTTATAACTCTAAAATGGAATTATTTGACCTTTTGGATGAAATATAAGATATAATTGCCGTGAAAATAGATGGCAATTATTAGTCAACTCTTAAGAAATTTGTACCGTTCATTTCCCTTAACTTAGTAATTCTAGCAATTGAATTGCTTTATTAGAAGTTTTCTTAAGAGTTGCATTTATATTGTTTTATTTAATGATGGAAAAATTGTGAGGAAAAGTTGACTTCTACCAGGTGTTCAAAAGTGATCTCTATGCTCAGGAAAAGTTTTAGGTTGTTAGGGCTTAAATTTTATAGTGTCAGGTCTGTTTTCTTAGTAATATATATTTTTTCTTTTAAAATTTATTTGTCTTTTATGTTTGTAAAATACAGAACATTTCATTCTAGAATAGTACATAGAATATTAACTATTTCAATACTGAAAAGAACGTCGTACATAGGACAATACTGAAAAATATATACATTCCTGTGTACTCTTGAAAACGTCTTCTTGTATTTAACACTCCTGTAAGTACTATCTCTATATAACAAATATTTACATTTTGCTACTTTTACTTCTGATTCTTTTTTATTCAGAGAAATAAAAATATTAGTTATAACTGAAGCTTCTTTCCTTTCTCTTCCCCCTTCCTTCTTCCACTGAGAGAATCACTCTCATCCTTCCCATCCATTGTTTTATATATTTTTACTATTTATACATGTCTTTATAAGTAATATATATATTATCATTTTGACTTTTTAAAAAGGAATTTCATACTATACAAATGTTTTTGCTGCCTAGTCCTTTCATTTAATAGTGGGATTTGAGATCTACATAGTTCATTTATCTTAACTGCTCTTTAGTTTGAATATACTTTATTGATAAATATTTAGGTTCAGTCTACTTTTTACTGAAATAAGTTTTTCGGTATTTTCAGGGATAGTCTGTGATTAATGGTACATTTATTTTAAATGTCTTGATTTTTGCCTTACTTTAGAATGACAGTATGGCTGGTTATAGGATTATAGGCTGACTGCTACTTTTCCTTAGCACTTTGTTAATACTTCTTTGTCCTTGTTCAGCTTCTGTCATTGTTGAGAAGTCTGCTCTCAGTTAAGTTATAATTTCTTTGTATTTTTTCTTTATTTGTTTTTAAGATCTTTTCCTTGTCTCTGGTCTTCTGCAGTTTCATTACAATTCATCTTTGTATACTTTTTTTTTTTTTTTAATTTATCCTGTTTAGTACTATAATCTGAAGACTCATTGTTTGCCCTCCTTTCTGGATAATTCTCAGTCCTTATTGTCCCTCTTACCCTTACCCTTCTCTCCAGGCGGAACTCTCATCAGAGCTGCGTTAGACCTTTCCTTTCACCCTTTGTGTCTTTCGGTCCCTCTTTTATATTTTCCGTATCTTTTCTGTTTTTTTGTTTTGTTTGGTTGGGATTTCTCAGTGCTGTCATTCAGTACACTGCTTCATTCCTCAGCTATGCCTAATTGGCTTTCTAAAAATCGTGGTAAAATATACATAACGTAAAATTTACTGTTTCTAAGTGTATGGTTAAGTGGCATCGAATATATTCATATTGTTGTGCAGCCATCAGCATTATTCCTCTCCAGAACTTTTCCATTTTCCCAAATTGAAACTGTACCCATTAAACAACAACTCCTCAGTCCTCCTCCCCCCAGCTCCTGTCAGCCACGATTCCACTTTCTGTCTGCACCTGAATGTTTAGGTACTTCGTATAAGTAGAATCATATGTTTTGTCTTTTCGTATCTGGTTTATTTCACTTAACAAAATGTCTTCAGGGTTCATCCATGTTATAGCATAGATCAGAATTGCATACCACTTTAAGGCTGAATAACCTGTAGTATGTATAGAACACATTTTATCTGTTCACCTGTTGATGGACATTTGGGTTATTTCTACCTTTTGGCTTTTGTGAACAATGCTTCTGTGAACATGGGTGTACAAATAGCTGTTTGAGTTTCTGCTTTAATTCTTTTGGATATATAGTTCATTATGTTACTTATTTTCTTTATGTCTATCATAACGAACAACTTTAAGATATTTGGTTGTCTTAGCAGTTTGGTCATTTAATTTACCAAGACTCTGCCTTTTGGCAAAAAGTAACATAAAATATCTCATACAAACTGAAAAACTGTTAGGCAGGAGAATCTTTTTTCATCCTCTGGAAGTAAAAGAAAAGTTTCAATGAAGTAAAAACTAAAGTTGGAATTGAATTATAAACAAATGAAAGAGGAATTCCTTCAAAAAATCAGTGACTTTTTGTTTTATCCTATAGGAATGTTTGGGTATCCATAGCGTCAGTAAACCCGTGTCTTCACTTTGTAATGGAATTCATTTTCTACTCCACCCAAAAGTTCTGTATGAAATCTCTGTATTTGGCATTCAGGAGCCCAAAAGTGAGGTATGGCGTGTTCAAAGTAACTGCAAAAAACTAATTATTTAGAGACCCAGCTAAATCAAGGTAATATCCTAATATAACTAGATACTATGATGAGAAACAGAAAAGAAACTTGTCTTTGATGTATGGGTTCAGTTGCGGTGTTTATTTAAATAGATGTGTTAAAGAAAATATGAGAATCAAAATGCAGGACATACTTGTTCTCAGAGAAATCAGATAAAACTATTACTTAGGTTTTCCATCTAGGATGTAGAGTACTGTACAGGAGTTGTAATAAGCAGGTGGTTTCACTAAGTGACATTTTTATTCGATGGGAGAATATACCTTAAAGGTGAAAAAAAGAAATTTAACATTAAGGGGGAAAGACTGGTTGAGAGCTGAATGTAAGATGACGCTACAGAAATATGAGCATTTGAAGGAAGAGGTGTTAATTACAGCAGCTTTCCAGATTTTATAAAGTGTTACGGGTACGTGAGGTGACGCGGGGACACCTGATTTTGTTGGTTGTTTCTCTGTGTCGGTGAGCAGGTGAATGCCGCCGCCAGAGCCATCCTGCTGTACCTGCTGCAGGGACGATTGCTGATGACAGCGCCGACCTGGGATAGGTTTATCGAGTCGCTCTGCCCCATCCTTCCAGTCCTACAGGTACTCCGTGCGGTCCCCGCGTGCAATGCCATTTATCTGTGGAGGGTGACATTGATTTAAACACGTGCAAACAGCAGAGCTGTCACACCGGGAAAGGGATGATGAGCAGCCGGGAAGGCACCGTGGATGACTGGCCAGAAAGTGGGTGGCTGCCTGCGTCTGGCAGAAGGTTAAACCAAGATAGCTCATCTGTGTGCCCCTCGTTTATCTGGACGGGAGGCTGAAAAGTGAGGTGCAGGCAGTTAGCAGCGGCTGTGAAAAATAGAGCTGACTTTATATAAAGGCTTTCAGGAAAGCTAAGGGCTTCTTCAGCAGACTGTACGTCACTGAACTTGCTTTGTGCATTCTGTCCCTGCTTATGTGTGACTGGAGTGACCCTTTGATTAATAAACTCTTAGAAAAAAAGCTTTTTCTGGGCATTACGGGAGCGAGGGACATTCAGGTCGCTGCCCCCTTGGATGAGAAGGTGGAGATGGGAAACACTGCATAGCCGCAGTCCCCACAGACACTGTCCCCACAGATGCTGTCCCCGCAGACGCCGTCCCCACAGACGCTGTCCCCATCGACGCCGTCCCCGCAAACACTGTCCCTGCAGACACTGACCCCTGAGGGCAGAGAGCCCGGCCCTTGGGCCTCGAAGCCTGTCTGTAGCACTTCGTCTTCGTCCTGTGGGGACAGGTGCCTCACGTAGGGAAGGTGCCACCACTAGAATCTTGGCAAATACAAAAATTAGCAAATGTCAAGAAGGTTGGCATATTTCCCTGAAGTTCTTAAGTATTATTTTTTCAATATAGTTTTCAGTAGGCTTCTTTATGTAGGTTATTTTGCAGAGTGACTTTTCAGCAGAATTTAAAGCAATTTGTAAGTTGTCTGCCAATCAATAAAATTCTTATTTTTAAGTTAAATAAATGAAGCCACATGTATAAAATCGAACGCTGTTTTCGTTTGCCATGGGCTCCGTCAGGGCTACGCGGACACAGAGGAGCCGCTGGGCAACTGTGTTCTTCTCCTCAGCGAAGCGGGTCCCGAGGGTGACGGAGGGGCCCTGTCCCGCACCGCCCGCCTGAAGGCCACGCTGCGGCTCCTGCTGGTGAAGAAGCCGGCGTGAGTACAGCAGACCGGATGGCAGGGGTTGACGGGGCGGTCTGGGAAAGCGTGGTAACGACGCCGGCCTGAGACCGGGGCGGAGAAGGTGAGGGAAAGCCAGGCCCCTGTTAGACCAGGGGCCGCGACTGGCGTGTGCAGTTAGAGCGGGCGCAGGGGCCTTGAACGCGGCCCTCACGTGCGTCCCCACCGTCCGGCCCAGTTGTCAGCTCAGCATGCGGTGCGCACGGCTGCCCAGGGGTGCCGCGGGCAGGTGGCAGAGCTGCGGAGATAAACAGATTGCAAAAATTATAGAGCACTGTCCTGTCCCTTCGTTTAGAAATCGTTAGCCAACCGGAGTGGTCCTTTTCTAAACATTTCTTCTGAAAAGTAAGGTTTTCATGAAAGCGTAGTGGACTGGCTGCCGCATACACCAGAGCACGCGGGCATTCTAATTTGTTTGGCTTGTCCTCTGTCTGGGAAACGAAAAAAAGGTCCTTTCCTCCGCCCTTGGTGTACGTATCATCTCAACTAAAGAAAGAAGGAGAAATGTGTGTCTTCCTTCCCTGTCCGTCAGTGCAACGTGAGTCTTCTCTGTTGCTCTTTAGGTGACAGTGCGTAGGTTTTCCCTCGCTGAGAAGAGAAGGAAAGCTTGGAGTCAGGGTGACTGAGTGGTGACGAGGAGGGGTCGGTGGCAAAGGCTAGGAGGAACAAACAGATGTCCTCGTGACAAAGTTTTGTTCTCTCCGAGCTTTACATCAGGATAACACAGTGGCTTATTTACAGGCAGATGATCAGACTGAAAAATAAGGAAGTAGGTGGAAATAAAATATCAAGAGAATTAAAGGAGGGACATCAAAAGAAGCGATTGTAAAGGTCCGTATGTGGTGCAGGGAGCTCAGTTAGGGGGCACGGGGAGCGGTAGGGCAGGCGAGTCGGTCTCGGTGCCCCTCGGGGGTTGATTGGCTTCCACACGTGGCCCGTGGGCCCTGGGCGGCTCCTTTAGTGATGCACTGTGTCGTACTCCCTACCCTGAAACGTGGTGATTTAACACAATAAAAATGTGTTTCCTGTTCACCTGTGGGGCCCAAGGTGTTCAGGTAAATAAAGACATTCTTACCAGGCAGGACATTCCGGGGACGTAGGGACCCCCTCCCGAGGAGCCGAGGGTGAGGCCTGACCTCGCTTACATGGAACTCAAGAGAATTCGAATTACTTTCAAATTACTTTCGAAAGTAAATTAAGTATTTACTTTCATTACTTGATTAATTCTACCCCAACCCACCAGGCCATAAACTCCACTAGACAAACTCCACTGTCCATTGGCCAGTCTTTACGTCCTCAGCACTTCATAGATTTCCTTGGGCATAAATATGCTCAAAATATATTCGCTGAAAGAGAGTAGAATAAATGGACTCTGGTGCCCCAGGCTAAATTTACGTACAAGAGGAGGAGGTGCGTAAGTATATACTTTACATGTCCCACTCTGGCTTTCTGACCGGGGTTGGTGACTATCTCTGCATTAACGACTCAATGCAGACAGCTTTGGCTTGGAAGGAGGGAACAAAGGGAAAACGTACAGATGTGCTCAGCTTTCAGGAGGTGAGAAGTGGGACGGGAGCAGTTTGCCTGACTTATCACACCACCTTAGAGCGTGATAGCTGTTAATACTATGACGGTGAATTCCTGCTTAGCCTTGGGAGGCACCTACTGAGTGTCTGCATGTGCCTAAGAACCGTGGTCAGCTGTGGGAACAGAGCACACAACACAGACAGGCACGTGCTTCAGAAGAGATTGCTTATCGGTTACGCATTATTATTTGCGATAAAGCGAGGTCAGTGTGATGATGGGGGGTCTTCAGGGTGACGGGACACAGCGAGGTGACCCAGCCATAGCTGCAGTAGGGCGGGCTCCGTGGTGGATACGCAGGTTTTCGCTGTCTTATCAGCAGTGCTTAAACCCTGGAAATTGGATTATCGTGTAAAATTTGCCCCGTTCCCATGCAGTCTAAGAGCCCATGGGAGGAGTGAGAGGTAACTGGTTCTGTCAGTAGCTTCCAGCTCAGCACCCTCCGTGCTCTGGATGGTTTTCTGTTTTTCCGTTTCGTCTCATTGTTTGCAGCATCTCATCTTTTCTCGAAATCTCCCACCTTGCACTCATTCATTCCAGATAAAATAGAATTTTGGTGGGAATCAAAAGAATTTCCATTTTCATATTTGGGGGGAATCTATTTGGTCCCTACTATAAGATTTTTCTATATCGTTATGCTATCACACTTATCAGTGTGATGACTCCACTCGGAGTTCGGCCTGATGTTTACACTCTGATCATGGGTCCGCGGTAATTTTTATGATTGACAGAGCGCTAGACCTGGAGGCAGGAGTTCCAGGTTTAATTTGCAGGTCGACTTACTGAAGTTCACAGTGATACTGACTGTGCAGTTGACAATGTCAGTGAGTCTGTCTCTTCATTTGTAATTATCGATCATTCTTTATTTCTCATGTTTATAAAAGAAAGAATTGTAGTTATACGCTAAATATTTTAATAGAAGAAATGTAATATTACTAATAATGTCAGCATAAGTATGGCTAATTACCGTGTTGATATATAATAATTTGTTGTGATTATAGGGCTTTATAATTTATGGACGTTTGTATATGACAAAATCTGACTAACACTTTGTTCCTTAGGGTCCGTTCGCTGGCGTCAAAGCTTTTAGCATGTCATCTCACCAGGGAAGATGGGGCAGACAGGAAGCGCCCATCCATCGATGCCAGAGTCCTCTCCAGAGTTACTAATTTATTTATTGTGAAAAAGCCTATCGAACTCAAATTGGATGACAGAAAAGAGCTCGTTATTAAGGTGGCTGTAACTTTCGAGTTTGTTGCTGTGTGGTTATTCGATGTCACATTTCTTATTGCATGGCTTGTGTTTGCCATGGAGGGGAGGGGACTGGCAGCTTCAAGTGTGGTGATTCGTGGCTGGTTCAAAATTGTGCTCTGGCTTCATTTGGCCCCTGGGTATGTTTGTTTATTGAACAGATATTTCTTGAGTGCCTACTATATGCCAGGCACTATGTCCTTTTTCATTTAGTACATATACACCAGATATGAAATTAATTTGAATACTATCTTAAGTATAATGTAAAGTTAATCTAGCGGAAAGAAATTCTGTGACAGCTGTTAAAAATATATATCACTGACATAAAACTCAGGGATTCTTCTTGTTCTTATGTTGGGAATTGCCTATAATATCAAAAGTTCCTACGATAAAAATTTTCAGCCTCTTTATTATAAGAGGAAAAAACAGTTCTATTGAGGGCAAAGTGTGGACCGGCCCCCCACCGCCACACGAAAACACAATGGGTTTTTAAAATGGGGAACCGCAGCCAGCGTTCTAACCTAAAGGGTTGCGGCCACGTGCCAGCCTTGGCCGAAGGACTGGAGAACCGTCCCCAGCCACATACCAGCTCCCGTTGGGGCCTCCCTGAGTTCTGACCACCGGTAGTCGCTCCTGTGCCCTGTGCGGCAGGGAGCGAGGTGCGGGGTGGCCTCTTAGGACTGCCTTTTGCGAGTCCACGGCGGGGCCAGCAGATGGCAGCCCGGGCGAGACAGGAGTGTCGTCTTCGATCTTTTCTTTCCCCCTTTTCCTTCCTCAGACTCTGTCCTGGCATGAACTGGCAGTTGGGGACTGGTTAGGGGTGGCTCTGTGGGAGTGCTGGCCACCAGGTCACAGCTGTCTGTGGCTCGGTCCCTGAGGAGGAAGAAAAGAAATGGCCAAGGGAATGCCAGCCGATGCTTCTGGGGGCAGCAGAGAAATGCTGTCACTGTCCGGTCACCGGCTCAGGGCTGCCTGGGGCTGCCTGTGGGGATGTTTCCCATGGAATTGTGACTGACTTCCCAGCAAAGGGAGACCTGAGGAGAGGCTCACGTGGCCTGGGGCTGTGTGCTTTAGATCTCTGTCCCTCCCTGACCTCGAGGTCACTGCAGATTTACGCTTACACATACCTGTTACTTAGGTGCATTGACTTTCCAGCTTTTGTTGTCACATGAACTATAGAATTTTAGAATTGGAAGTAGATGAAAATCTTTTTTTTTTGGTTTGCAGTTGGAGACTGTTGAGAAGGTGTATGAAATCTTTATCTCAGATGATATCGATCTTGTTTTGAGAAAGTCAGCAGCGGAACAGTTAGCTGTGATTATGCAAGGTAATGTGTTTTAAAACGATCGCTCTACTGCCGGTAATGGGTTTAGATTGCTGTGTGTAGTAGTGTCAGCCTAGAAAACTATGGTTTGATCCGCCCTGCGCCTGACTTTTTTTTTTTTTTAACAGCTTTTGAGTTAAGAACGGTTTTTACATTTTTAAAAAGTCGTTAAAAAAAAAAAACAAAACCAAAAACAAAGAACATGTGACAAAGACCATGTGTGTCCAGCAAAGCTTCACCCCTTTATTATTTAGATCTTTACTACGGAAAAAGTTTGTCTATCCCTGCTCTGCATTATCATTATTTGGCCTGTAGGATGTCATCTGAGGGAATTTTCTTCCTTCTAAAATATTAACAGAAAATTGCCTGTTTCTTTCTCAGTTTACCTAGTACACGTTTTCAGTTTGTTCTATCTTGCTTAGAGAAGTCAATTAAACAATACTTTGTGGGTGGATAAAATAAAAAGTATGTGTTGTAACTTTTTTCTTTAAAGGCTTATTTTTAAAACAACTAGTAAAACATACTGTTAACTTTGTTTGCAGCATTGTTATTCCACAGGCTTCCATTCTTTGGGTTAGTTTTTTATTATTCCCTGTATGTGATGTATGTAATTTAACTTTAACATTTGAGAGAAATGATAACTGTGCACCTACATAAAAAGATTTTCTTCTGAGTTGGAAGTCGGGGCACGGTTAATGTCCCTATCCTGACATGAGTGGAAACTGGAGTGAGAGTAATTTGAAAAAGCAAATGCAACATATTTTTTGGCTTTAATAACTATACTACAGACTGCAGAAAATAACGCTCTAGAAAGTGTGGAGAGCTTCTGCTAACAAGATCAAAAACTTTTAGAAAATATTCCTTCAGTAGTGTTAACATTTCAAAAATACAGCGTGTCATCGTGGTGCGCACAGTGTTGGGGGAGGGGAAACTGCTTGTAGTTAAAGTGGCAGCCGAAGGGGCTCGCAGGGATGGCGTGGATCCAGTATGAACACGCGTATTCGTGTGTGTTTTCTTAATGCATGTATTCACTGAGGATACGGGACAACAGAATAAGAAAATTTGTAAGTTGTTAAATACTTGTACCTAATCCATAAGCAACTAGAGATTTTGAAGCCGTGTGTGTGTGTGTCTGTGTGTGTCTGTGTGTGTCTGTGTGCCTTAGACCATAGGGGCTGCTATACTAGAATAGCATAGACTGGGTGGCTTCTAAACAACAGAAATTCATCTCGCAGTTCTGGAGGCTGGACGTCCAAGGTCAAGGTGCCAGCAGATTCGGTGTCTGGTGAGGGCCCGCTGCTTGGTTCATAGACAGTGTCTTCTCACTGTGTCCTCACAAAGAGAAGGGGTCTCTTTGATCAGGGCACCGATCCCGTTCACCAGGGCTCTCCCCTCATGCCCTAATCACCTCCAAAGGCTCCGTCTCCCACCACCATCACGTTGGAGGTTAGGTTTCTTTATGTGAATTTGGGGGACATAAACTTTCAGTCCACAGCAGTGTGTCCACACACACGTGTACACGTTTATAAAAAGAGTTTGTATTCTTCAGAAGGACGTGGAGTATGTTAAAATCCCTTTCTCTTTATAGTTGTTATTAACAGTTGGAGGTTAGAGATCTTTCAGTAATAGAAAAATGATCATGTTGCAAGCCATATTTACATATTAATTTGTGGAGAATTCTAAAGATTTTGAGTGATGGATTTAGAAAAGAGAAGAATTGTCAGTGAAAATTATAAGGAAAATTTGTCATGTACAAATAAAAGGATTCATTTGTATACATAAAATTCTACTTTTCAGAGCCTGAACTGATTCATTTATTTTTTAAGTTTTATTTTTTACATCACAAGAGTAAGGAGTAAGGTATGCTTGTTACTTAAAAGTTTTCACATTGTTTAGATGTATATTGAGCAAAAAGTTAAATATTTCATCGTCTCATTTCAATATCAAGTATAACTATTTTTAATAGTTCAAAAGTTATATCGATATTGGTTTTATATTTTTAAAACTAAAGAAAATGTTCTTTAACTTTTAGTAACTTTTTTTTTGTCTACAGATATTAAAATGCATGCTGTGGTGAAAAAGTTATGCTTAATTGACAAGATAATTGAGTACTTAAATGAATGTGTGGGTCAGGATGGCGAGGTAAGCCTCATGTGTGTCTAGACATATTTTTTACAGATTGATATTTTTGTTAATCAGATCTGAAGGTGAATTCAGCTGAATTTGGGTAAATACTTGGAGTTTATATCCTGAGTAACATCCACTACCTTGTTCACTTTTTTTTTTTATTTCTAAGTGGGATGCTTCATAAAAAGGAAAACTATTCTTAAAATTTCTATAAGATGTGTAAGCAGAAATATATACAAACTTTATTTTCAGTGGAAAATTCTTAATATTTATTTGCATTTTTGTTTTACACAACTTTGATTAAAAAAAAGCATAAACTTTAGAGTAAGGTAATAAGCATGTAATGCATTGTTATAGTATACTTTATCTCGTCTGAGAACTGATGAAGGTCAGTAACCGTGTGTCCCCCGGCCAGGCCATGGAGTGTTTGGTGCAGCCGAGCCTCGCGCTGCTGAGGAAAATTCTCTGTGCCGACCCCGTCGTGCGGGTTTCCCTCGCTCAGCAGCCGTCTCTCCTGACCCTGTTACTCAGAGGTGAGGAACATCCATTCTGCTAATAACGAGGTCGAGCTTAAGCTTGCTCTTCTTTACCTGTAGGTAACATACTTTCTGTTTTACGAACATAATAGCAAAGTTTTTTAGTCAGTGGAAAATGCCTAATGCTTTGTGGACGTTTCCTGGCAGTCCTGTCACCGAGTAGACCCTTGAGCTGAGGAGGCTACAGCCTCATCATCCGCGCACCCTGACACTTGGCACTGGTGCCCAGATGGCTGGCCTGTGAGCAGGCAGAGCGGCAGCTGCGGCCACCGCTGCCTTTTGTTGTAGAGTGTGATTTTTCTAAAAACCCAATTCCGTTTGGTTGTAATTTAGTAATGTGTTTAGACGGAAAAATCCCATGTTATCTTGTTCTCTTCTGACTGCTCTCAGTAGAGAACTTTGTAACGTTTTGTGCTATTTTACTTTCTAGAAGTTTAAGCCACTGCTTTTAAATATTCTACAAGAGACATCTTGATCAAATGTCTCAATATGCTTAACCTTGTCAGTTATCAGGCATGTAAAAAATAAACGATATATATCTTCAAAGTATTATCAGAATATAGATTAGAATATCGTCATTTTATTTAAGCGTTTTCTTCTGATGGTTTCTGTTTGCCAAGCGAATAGGACACCGTTTATTTAATAGCATTGGTAAAGTTCCAGACCAGCTGAAGTTCTAAGCAGACTCAGGGTGTTCAGGCTCATAAAGTTTTGAATAGGGTATAAAATTTTATAATTTTCTATAGATTGATCTAGAAGAGTAGCAATTATTGATCTCTGGTTTTCTTTAATGCTGTTAATAATTACCTTCCTATTAACTTCATTCAGTGGAATTTAGTCCCTGGTTTACCTTTTCACTTATAATTTGATTTAAATTATTTAGGCATTCAACTAATTATGAGCACCTACTGGATTCAGCCACTTTCTGAGGCACCATGATTTGCCCTTTGGGTATTTAACAACTTTTCTGTGTCATTGATGTTTGCAAAAATTACTTCAGTGAGTCTGAAAATGAATTACAGTATCTCATTAATGGATTTAGTTTTAGGGCAAAATTAGTTTGTTGTTGTTGTTGTTGTTTCCTCTAAAAGAAAGGGTTTGTTGAGCCAAATGCTAGTCAGAAAAAGGACCAGGTCCTAGGGCATGAAGTCTATACAACCAGCAGCTGGGCTGGATGGAGAAGCTAGTCTGTCTCCCGAATTAGTTATTAACCAGGTCCTCAAGCAGGAAACTTTATTCCTCCGGAAACATTTATCGAGTACTTACTATGTGCTGGGTACAGCGCTAGGCCCTTGGGACATTTTAATGAGCTTGGTAAATGACCCTCTGGAGCTTACACTGGAGTGGGAGACCTAAAAGCAAATGCATGATGCAGCGTGACAGGAACTGTCATGGTGGGCGGGTTCCTGGGCCAGAGGAAGTGTCCCTGGGTGGGTCCTTGATGTGCGAACACCAGGTGGAAGCACAGCAGGAAAATGAAAAATTTAATTTCTTTTGGGTACTCGTAGGAGTTCTTTATATGACACAAATATAAACCGTGTGCCTGATTTTATGTTAAGATTTTCTTTCAATCTTTCTATTAAAATCTATATCTTTAACCTTTAATATTAATGGAAATATATAAAGCTTTTCTATTATAGCAAGTGGGCTTTTCATCATGCTTTAAAAGGAAGGCCTTCTCCGATTCCAAATTCCAAATATGCTTCTGTACTTTCTCTTAATATGTTTGTTTATAAGTGTTGTTTCAAAAACTTAGGTCTCTAATCTACTTAGAATTGATTTTGGTATGTAGTGTAAGGTAAAGATCTGTTTTTTCCATATTGTAGGCAATTGCACTGCAATAATTTCTTATGTATTTGAAAATACTGTTGTCTCATTTCATCTCCACTGATAGGAAATGTATACTTTACTGTAAATTCTTACATGGGTCTCTGCTTCTTTACTATTTCATTGCTATTTTTAATTATGCCTATTATATAATGATGTTTTCCTTTTCTTACAGTTAGGAAAAATACCTTCTTTTAAAACTAATTTTTTGTTGCTTCCCTGTATCTGCTAACTATTACGTTGTTATTCCTGCATGATTGGTACAGCTATCATACCTGTTTGGTTAGAATTTCATAGATTTCAAGCATTGAGAAATTGTAGCACTGGGAGCATTACAGGGTGAAAACCGAGGCTCGTTAATGTCAAGGAATTGGACGAGGGCGCTTCGCCGAGTGGTGGTGCCTGGTGCCCGTCTTTCGTCTGCCAGTTCCGACCCGTTCTTTTTCCATTACCTCGTTGTGATAAGGGAGACGCACAAGCCGAAACACCACCACCAGCACAAACATGTTTTACACTCAAATCCGAGTTCTCTGACTACGTCAATAGCAGAAGGTGGAGATTCTAAAATAGGGAGGCCTTTCAGTGAGCAGACTCGAGCTGCAGTCGCATGACCTGGCAAAACCGTCCTGGAAGCCGGGCCGGTTGGCTTCTCTGCTTCACGGAACCCGACGGGACCTCGTGCCCGGCCCTGCGGGTGTGGTTCCTGCTTCGCGGTGTCCGTGCCCACCGAACAGGAACTCAGGGCCGTCATGGGCCATTTGCAGGTGTGAGAGCCACTGTGTAAATGATGCCGATTTATCTGGGTTGACGTGGCTTCCCCTGAGAGTGGCAGCTCTTCCCTTTGAGTGAAGGTATTTTATTGAATGAATTAATGAATGAATGAATGAATGTTTTTTCAACTTTTAAAGTCTTATTTTTCAATTATAGTCGACATTTGGTATTATATTAGGTTTAGGTGAACAGCATAGTGGTTAGACATTTATATGATGTATGAAGTGATCCCCTCTGAGTTAAGATATTTTAAGTTTGAAGTTTATTCTTTCTGGAGGGAAAGATATTTCATAAAGTTATGCTGCTTTTTATTTCTCAGTTTCCTTGATATTTCATGAAGATTGTGCCATCGTGACTGAAGTCGGAGCATTATTTTGTCTTCTGTTATTTGATGAAGTATCAAGAATGGATATGTGGTAAGCTCTAAGAATTTAAAGTTTTTACTCTCTATTATTTATCTGAGCTTTCTGATGCAATCTTATAGCAACGCATGGACATTTTTGGCTTACGAAGGTCATGCTTTTCATGGTAGCGACGCCATGGGGCGACTTCCAGTTTAAAAAGCTCATTGGCTGAAAGTCACCCTGAACTTTTATTTTTGAACATTATAAGTACAAAACATAAAAGTTAGTACAGTGATTTTCATCAGCAATACATTTTTCAGTACATGCTCTCAATTTTGTTTTTTCTTTAACGTTTTATTTGGAAAAAACCTTCAGGAAGGTGTTTCGGATGATAATGTTGCATTAACCTGACTTTGAGCAGGGTCGGTGGGCGGGGACGCAGATCCACCCGCCAGCACAGCACCCGTATCCGATGAATCGTAAGCAAACCCAGGCAGCAGCAAGCGTGTTGGAACTGCGCCGAATGCTGGACCCAGTTGCAGCTGGTGCTTTGAGTTTCCGGCGGTGAAGAAAGCTGTGTGTGTGAGGCAGGGCTGCCGTCCACTCAGCTCTCTCCTTTTGTGTTCCTTCTATGACACAGGTCTGTGAATCCTCCCAGTAAACCTTCTTCACCATCAGTCTTCAGTTTGCCTGTCTCCGTGTTTAGAAGGTAACAGATTTATTTATTTGATTTTCTTGAATGTTGTTACGGAAAGGGAAATCGGAATCTGTAATGTGTCAGTTTTCATCTGGCATTTAAACCACGTGACTTGTGTGTTTTACCATTTCCTTCGCAGTGGGGCTTCGGGGAGTCCAGTCAGCGTATGTCCCCATCACCAAGTTTTTATTTTGGTGCTGTTCAGGTCTACACAAAAGTCGAAAGAGCTGCACAGGGACCATCAGCCTGCCCGTCAGCCTGCATTCAGCAGTTGTTAACTCATGGGTCTTCTCCCTCCTGCCCGTATGTGGGTGCTGGGAGCTGTCTTGGCTGAGGAGCCCAAGTCTAGAGAAAATAGGATGTCTAGTAAGTGTGCATAGGCACAGTTCCCTGGTCCCCACCAAGCATGTCACCAGGGCCGCAGCCCGCAGGGACGCTCAGTGCTGCGGCTTCCTGTTACGCATTTACGGTTTACCCCACACGTCCCAGTCCAGACCTGGGGAGCTGCTCCCAGTCTAGCAAATCAGCTTAGTGAGACTGGTGACGTCCTTACCTACTTGGCTGTGGTAGAGAAAAGAGCCAGAACGTTAGCCCAGGACTGTATTTGTCCATGGGGAGAAGAAGGGGTTCCCTTATTCCTTCAGTCACAGTGATGTCGTCGTTAAAATTGTTGCCGGTGTGGTGGGTGTGTGGCAGTTTCTAAGACTGCTCATGACGTAGTTCCCTCTGCTTTTTATTATTTTCTCCCTTCCGTGTTCTCTAGGCTTAATTTGCTGTTCGTTTTCTAACTTATTAAAGGATTGACTGTTGATTGATAGCCTTTCCTCTTTTCGTTTGGTGCACGGCCTTCCATGTAGGCCTCCCATTCTAAAACACCTCTCCATCCTCCATTTGTTGCTCATTCTTTTTTTTTTCCTTTTTTTTTTCCTGGCTTTATTGAAATATAATAGACAGTTGTTCGTATTTACATTGTACAATTCAATGAGTTGTTTTCAATTATAGTTGGTGTACAATAAATTAGTTTCAATTATACAGCATAGTGATTAGAGATCTATATAACTCACACGGTGATCACCCTACTAAATCTATTTCTCCTCTTCCCCCTTAAGTATTTATTGCAACATTGTTAACTATTTTCCTTATAGTACATTTTATATCTCCATGTCTATATTGTAACTATCCATTTGTGCTTAATCTCTTTGACCTTTTTCGCCGTCCCCTCTCCCCCAACACCCCTCCATCCTTTTGAGTGGAGTGTAAGAATTTGAAAATCTGTAATTATTTGTGTACATCTTCTCTAGGTATCACCTGCCAGTGCATGCAGTTGGCCACCATGCTGTGAGTCCGTACTCCATAGTTTTGCCGTTATCTGCTGATTGTTTGGCCTTGAAGCCGGTCTCGGATATGCTGAGAATAGCGTGGAACCTGGCATGGTATCGTGGGAGTGATAATCTTTTGAAGCAAATGAACTCCGAAACGCAAATCGAAGAGTAAGCTGTTCCTCTTAGTTGGAAAAGCATTCACATTTAACTAGTTATAACTGATTAGTTAGGTCTTATTTGTCCTTTAGGTCAAGTAGTTTTTGTACTTATTATCATGTGATTCTGCTTTTGCACTGAAGATTATAATTTTTATTTAGTTTTAAAGAATACATGTGTTCGTTACTTTTTAAAAACTATCACACAAGGAAATTGAATTAAAAAACAGGTCACCTGTGCTGTCTTCGAGCGTGGTTAGTTAATAGATGTAGACAGTAGGGAGATTGCTGTATGTTAGGGTAAGGGGTTGGTGAGGGCGGGTCTGAAGGTCGTCATCACTGTGGAGTGACAGTTATTACTTCTGAATAGTTTTGTATTCTAATCTGTCAGTGCTTTCTTATTTCATTGAAAATTACTTCATATTTGCGTAATCAGGAAAATGTTAATATAAACACTTCAGATGCTAGTGTAAAAGCCTAATATTGACAGGTGTACACTGGATTTTCTTTTGGCTGTGAGTCAACCTTTAATTAAAAGAAAATGAAGGTAAAACAACTTTTGGGAGAGAGTGTATCATAAAACCGAGCTCTTATTTGAATAGTTTTTGTGTCTTTCTCTTTTTCTATTGGTTTAGATTTTTAGACACGTTGAAGTTGTCCACAGAGGACATGCTTTCTCTGAAGATGACGCACACTGCCAGTGGACTGAAGGACTGTCTCCATTCCATCGTTCAGGCTGCAGGGCACAGGGAAGTGAGGGCTGCTGTCACGAGGATGAGTTTCTATTTTCTGAATGACAGACTGTCTTTGAAGGGCAGCCCTGGCCCATGTGGGGTTCCCTCGAAGTCCCTGGCGTGGCACACCGCGCTGAACAGGTCAGTGGAAGCCCCAGTCTGCAGCTGGCAAGACCTGGGTCGCATCGTGTTTGGGCTCTTCTCCACGCTTTTGGGGTGAGAGCATATGTTCTTCCTGTCACTGTCATGAGACAGGTTTTCATAGAAGGAGAAAACCCCGGCTTTTTATTAGCTGTGATAAATATCTCATAACAGCAAAAGAGAACATTTTTCACTTAATCACTGCATTTTGTAAGGAACTATTAATAAGCTTATAACAGTTTTGTAAATATCCTATCATGGAAAATTCTTTTATCTTATAAAGGTAAATGATGAGGATAAGACATGATCGTGTATTCCCATCTGTATTATAAACGTGCCAAGACATCCGTGGGTTCACTAATAGGTGTGGCTCACCTGCAGCTGGCTGTTTGTTTTTTGTTGCTTTTGCATTTTTCTGCCTCATTTTTCTTTATGCTCTGAATTTCATGGAGCCGATTACCATGTGGCGGTGCATCAGTAGCTCTTGGGAAGGCTCTGGCTTATAAATTTAACACGTTTAACTGGCAGCAGATGGCCGCTGCGTCGGACACAGACGAGACCGCTGAGCGGCCGCTGGCAGCAGTTTCACGTTTTCATTTTCATGTAACTGGTATAAAATACGTAACTTTCATACTAAACATAAAGTGTGCAGTTTTCAGAACGCAGGGTTAAATGGTTTTGCAAAAGGCCGACTCCTTTATTTAGGCTGGTTCTCACAATTCAGATATCTGCCTTGGCTTTTTCAGTGGTTTGCTGGAGCCAGCCGGTGCTGCCTTGTGAGAGAGCTGATGCTTAAATTTTCAGGATTTTTGCAAGTTAGTTGGTTTCAACGGAGCCATTTAAAAAAACTATGTAAAGTTACAATTAAATAAATTATATGAAAATAAATTAATGATTATGCAGAAGTTACTACCTCCTAATCATCTTACAACACTGCTGTGATCTGTGTTCTCAAGGTTATTTATATCTGTCTGTGTCGTCGAATGCCACGGCATGGTGTGCTGCTGGCCCTCTCTCAGCTCTGTCACAGTGGTGGCTTGCAGTCGCCACAGTGGGTATTTAGACAGTGGAAATTGGCAGACAACAAAGCAGCACCCAGTTCCTCAGCTGCTTATTAAATATTTATCAACACACCACTTTAAGAGCTAGAAACCATGATTATTGTCTTCTTCATTGTAGGTTTTTACAAGTGCTTCCTGCTTGTACTGAAGATGAGAAACTGCTAATAGATATCATACATTTTTTAAATAAGTTATTGAAGACACAAAGAAAAGATTCATCAGTAGAACTTCTAAACTGGCTTCTAGAATTACTTCTTAGACATGTAAGTGTTAAAGAATTTGGGTTTTAGGTTTGACAAGTGGTTTATTTGAAAATCATTAATACTATATTATTGAAAAGTACAATTTTTAGCTATAGCCTACACTTGGTAGTGTATGCCTCGTCTTGTGCTAGATGGCTCATAGCAATGTGGCCTTCTCGACATGATTGAGACTAGGCTTATTAAACAAGAGTACAGAATAGTGGGACCTTCTGTTTTGTAGTTAAACAGAATAGATTAACAAAACCTGTTCTGTGCAAGTTTTCTGCTGCAGCTGTATTTTTAAGTGAGAATCTCGGGGCCTGGGGGAAGCGGGGACTGTAGACAGGAAAGTGGAGAGGCCGGGAACACAGCCAGACGGAGGCCGTGCGCGAGGGCCGTGGTGGCACCGAGGTTGGAAAGGACGAGGCGGACAGCGCTCCGGCTTTGGTGCGAGTCCACTGTGGCGTTTACTCTCCGGCCACCGCTCTCACTTCTTTAGCTGTTCTAAGAAACTTGCCAGCAAGCTGGCTCACTACCATTGGTCTGCCTAGCTATGTTTTCTTTTTTTTTTCTTTTTTTTTTTTTGGAAATACTGTGTGAATTTGCTTAACCTAGCTAAGATAAACTTTTGTATACGTAATCATGAAAAAAACACATAAAAATTAGAAAAGAGGGTCTAAATTGATAAAGAAGATGGCCCTTATAAGACAGATATGTTTCATTATATGTTAATGTATGTTAATACATTTACAAAGCTAATTTAAAAACATGATTTGCTACAAAAGTATGAAGTGCTAATATGGTATAAGTTAGAAATTCTAATTGAGAATTATTTTTAAAGTATTTGTAGATTTCTTAAAAATCTCTATATCATGTATATAAATGTGCGTATATACAACTTGTTTAGATGCTTATTATCACCTCTGTTACAGATCGGTGAAAATAGGGACTGTTTTGTTCGCAGCTGCGTACCCCTCACCTGCCATAGTGCCTGGCGCACGGAGAACTGCCAGAAACGTTTATTAACCCAGCAGTGAACTTACAACATTGAGGAAGCTACATACTTAATTACAAGAAAACACATAACCTTAATTTCATAACTTGTTAGAATTTAACAAAAATGGAAACTATAGGCCATATTACATATGCAAGTTTATACTTATAGACAATTTCTGGAACTGTAATTGCTGAGTCAGTTACGAAACACAAAGATACATGTGTCTATGTGTTTGTCTTGAGATTTTTTGTTTTTTATTTTTGTAAGTAAATGACTGAGTGAGGCCATCCTTTTCTGCCTGCGCGTTTTTGCTTTCTTCCCTGTGACTTGTTCTTTGATGCTTTTGCTGGTTGTGCCCACAGTCGGGTGGTGCCCATAGTCTTCTGTCTCTTTGTGGTAACAAAGGAAAATGTCACATTAGAGAGATGAGCCCATTACCTGTGATATGAGTTGCAAATGTTTTTTTCTTGTTTGTTGTTTGTTTTTTTGACTGTGGTTATTTTGAACTTATTTTCCTATCTTATGTACACCTTATTTTTTTTTTTAATTAACTTTATTGGGGTAACATTGGTTAATACAATTATATAATTTTCAGGCGTACATTATAATTTGACATCTGTATATTGTCGTGTGTTTATCACCCAAAATCTAGTTTCCTTCAGTTACCATATATTTGACCCCCTTTACTCTGTCTACTTCCCCCCTCCTCCACCACCCCCTCCCCTCTGGTAAACACGAGTCTATAGTCCATGTGTCTCTGTTTGTCCTGTTCCTTTGCTGCTTTTGGGTTTATATCTCACATATAAGTGATATCATGTGATTTTCAACTTTTTCTGTCTGGCTTATTTCGCTTAGCTTGATTATCTCAAGGTCCATCCATGTTGTTGCAAATAGCAGTATTTCATCTCTTCTTAAGACTGAGTAATATCCCATTGTATATATGTACCACAGCTTCTTTAGCCAATCATCTATCATAGGACACTTCGGTTGCTTCCATGTCCTGGCCACTGTGAATAGTGCTGCTATGAACATTGGTATGCAAATATCTTTTCAAGTCTTTGGGATAAATACCCAGTAGAGGGATTGCTGGATCATGTGGTAGATCAATTCTTGTTTTTTTTGAGGAACCTCCATACTTATGTACAGTTTAAATCTCCTAGGTTTGGTAGGTTATATTATTTCTACTTTTCATCTTTTATAATATTTAAATTGTGTTCCATGACCATAACTTCCTACAGGTATGTGTGTGTATATGTGAGAAATCACCCATCCTCTGGGTTACTTAGGCCTTCCAGCTACTACTCATGCCACCCGTGGTTCCCAAGACAGCTGCTGTGGCGATCTTTTTAAGCCGAGTCACCTCATGTCACCCTTCTGCTTAAAATCCTGCACCAGCTTCCTTCCTCACTCGGAGTAAGCGCTGGCCTCCGGGGCTCTGAACCCGACTCTGAGCTTTCTCTCTCCATCCACCACTGCGCTCCCTCCCTCCGTTCCAGCCCACTGGTGGCTGGTTGCTTCTTAAACCTGGTCCTCACAGCTACCTGAGTGCCTCACGTTTCCTTTTCTCTCTGGCCGAGCACTCGTTCCTTCGATACCTGTGTGGCTGACGGCCACACGTAATCCAGTGCTCTGTTCAGACGTTAGTCAAACAAAGGAGCTTTCTCTGCATCCCGTGTCGTACAACATCCCTCCATGCTTGTCTGTCTCTCTGCCTTACCACTTATCTCTACCTTATTTCTTGTCCTACTTTATCTTTATTCATTGCACTTATCACGTCCACCTGCAGAATATCTTTGTTCGTTTTGTGTGTACCTCAGCCCATTAGAAAGTAGCCCCTATGAGGACGGGTCGTTTAGTCACTGCTGTATTGTTTTTCTTTAGTCATATTTATAGGTTTCTTTCTTTATAGGTTCTCAGTTATGTATCTTATTGGGAAGGTCTTTTCTACTCTAACGTTTTGAGTAAACACTCCCATGTTTTCTTTTATAACTTTTAAGACTTTATTTTTGTTTACATCTTCATTCGTCTGGTATTTTTTTGGTGTGGATTATTTTTTTTTTGAGCGGTTAGCAATTTTCCCATATCATCTGTCTACCACTGATTTGAGTTGCCACTATTGAAAAAAAAAGGTCAAACTGATATCCTATATATACATGAATCTTTGATTGGACTTTGTATCGTGTTCCTTTGATATGTCCATGTTTTCTGAAGAACTACATTTTAAAATTATTTTAACAAATTTTTCTTTAATAAACTTAATTTTCTTTATTTTTTCTGGCCATTTTTACTTCTTTCAAATTAACTTTATTTTGTGAAACTTATGACAGAACAGTTGTCCACTGAATGGACATTTCTATGTGATTTTATTGGCTTCATATGTATGGCAAGAAATACCTTAAACATAGCTAAAAAGACATAATAAAATGAGAAAAATATTTGTAATACACATGAGAGACAAAATACTAGTTTTCTTAAAGTACGTTTTTTGAATCTAATAAGACGATTAAACTTTCGAAATACACAGACTCGTTCAGTGAAGTTTGTTCTTCTGTTTCTTTCTCAAGGATGATTTCAAAGAGCCATAGTTACTTTGATTTTCTCTTACTTTTTAATTATTAAAATTAAGGGAGTGTTTGGAAGCAGTTATTTTCTGAACATTTTTAATAAAGCAAAAAAGTAAAGCCTAATGTCATTGTAGTTCTTTTAGCTTTTTGGCATGCTTGCATGTTTTAGAAATTGGATATTAAAATAGTATTAAAAGAATCTCTATGAAGCTTTTCCTATGAAAGAGTTTTTTGATAACTCAAATCAATTTTTGATTTATAAATGTTTTATAACTTCATAATCCTTTTACTCATTTTTAAAAAAGAACAATCTCCTTAGGTTAGAGTACTTATATTCTGGGGATTATAGTTGCTTTGGGCTGTGAAACGGCAGATTTGGTTCACTTTAGTTTTAGAATCTTTTCTTGAAAATCTGTGCAATAATTGAACATTTACATAAAAGACTTTGTACATAGTATAAAATAATAGAATGCTCACTGAATATTAAAATATATGTGCTAATTATGTTACTGTAACTAGTTAAAACATTTAAATGATTATGAAATTATTGTCATGAGTGCTGATGTATATTGTTTAATTTAGTCATAGTTTTGAAATTAAAATGAAATTTCTATAAAATTATAGATGATTGCACTGTAATTTTAATGCAGTTTTAGAAAAGGTTTTTTGGTATAATTAAATTTATTTGACTTTGTAAAGTATCAAGGCTATCTTTGGAAAGCTTTTACTTTATCTCCTCACATATTACCATCACTAGTGTTACAAAAAATAATACTTTTAAGGTGAGCATAGTGGACTTAAGCCTCCGCTCTCTGGAGAGTTTCCTCTCTAAATATCATGCAACAAGAGCGACGTCGTTAATTAAGTGTTTTGTAATGACCAACGTTCAAGATCGAGGAAGCCTGAAAATAGAAAGCCAAGTGCCTTTTAAAATGTCATTTGAAGTTAGTAAAATAAGTGAGAGATGATTTAAGGTGGTCAGTAAAATAACATTTCCAAGGAACTGTTTTGAATGTTTTGACATAATATGGAGAGATATGTAAAAGAAGTGGTGGCAGAAACTAACAAAAGTAGGCAAATATGAACTCCTGATCAGGCAGGCGAACCTAACAGGACACGTAAAGAAGAATCAGGTCACTTACGGAGGGAAGACGTAGGGACCGTCGGTTGTGAAAGTTTTGTTTGTGTTTGATCAAAACATTCATTGATTACAAACGTTTTAATTCTCGGGCATTTTAGGCATTTCTTGTGCCACTCATCTATAACTTAGTGTAATGATATTTTGTTAATATATAAAATAACCCAGAAGTGGTAAGTTTGAATACCTTTTTTGACAGAATGAGTTTTTTGATGGAAGTTCATAAAAGTGGGGCCATAATTTTGGGGGGGAGGCTGTTCAGCACTACACTGTGGATGTCTCTCCTTTTTGGCCAGCTTTCACAGGCATGTGTGCATTCAGCGTCCCTGGGGGGTGTTGTGCAGTCTGCTACTGTCAGCTGCTGATGGATGGAAAACGGGAAGCCATGGGTGGTAACTGCGCTTAAAGACAGTGGGCCATCATTACCAAAAATGTTGCCTTGCGGATAAAATAACAGTGCAAGTCGTTGGTTTAAAATTGGGATTGAATATTAATGTCTAAAGACAAAACCTTCAGGAGCGATTAAGCACTTGAGATGAACGGGCATCAGTGGAGACATCGATTCTAACGCCTTGTACTCGAATGTTCATTCGTCCTGTGTTTTCGAGGCGGTGCTGCGTAGGTCCCCCGAAGCTTAACGTTAACACATGACTCCAGGGTGTGTTATAAAGGGGAAAGGTCGCAGCGTTAACAGGCAAAAACAAGTTATTAACAGAATGAGATTCTTGGAGGAAGCTTAATTTTAGATATATACATACCCTATCACTATATTCATAGGAATCAGTAGTTCCTACTTAATATTCATCTGTATATCAGAATTAATAATTCCTGGTAGTAAAACTATTTTTTCCAGAGACGGTTTGCATTAAAAACAGCTCATTCCTTTTGTCAGTGTGGGGGTGAGTCGGCCCTTGGTTACGGGAGGCTACGAATGTGAGAGAATACATGCTTATTTTTATGATTTCATTAAATGTATATCTTGATTGTTTATGCATGCACGAAACATGGAGGCTGTAGTTACGTTTCTTGTAATTTTACGTGATCCAAATAAGGCAGTTCTTGCACAAAATGAAAGGAAAAGCTGGGAATAAAAGCTGCTGAGGTGTGAAACATAGTAAAGTAAGTTAAAAGCGAAATGTGTCTCTCTAGTACTTTCCAGAGGCTCTCAAATAAGTTATGTGTGATCATGCGTACCTGACTGAAGTCTACTCTACATACTTTGTAACATGAACAACTTGGAATTTTCTTCCCTTTTTCTTCATTTCTTTTAAAGAGAAGACGGTTATTTTTGAATCGAGTGCTGTAGGTGAGAGATTTTATAACCACAGTAATTACATTTTGACTTTATCTCTCTGTGCATATTGTAATATGCACTATTGATGTGACATAATGCTGGGGACAAAATATTTACTGGCTTTGAAGTAAAATGGTTCAGAGATTAAATCCTTGCTCAGCTCATTCTTAAGATTTCGGACAGATTACCTCACCTCTTCGTAAACCTCCATTTGCCCATATGTAAAATAAGAAAATGCAGGTCTTCTAGTTTAATCAAAAAATTACATGAACTCTTTTTTTTCTCTTTAGCTACATTTTGAAAATGGAAAACAGGAAAAATTTTAGATCGCCTTAGTTTTATTTGTTTATTAGCCTATCAGATTGGCAAGGCTCACAGCGGTGATGATGCTCAGCACTGGCTTGGATGCTGCAGGCCTTCTCCTCCGCTTAGTTGTATGTTGTGGTCTACTTTTTGCAGCGGCAATTTGGCAGTGTACATCAAAAGTATTAAACTGTTATAATGTTTTGATTTAGTAATTGTATTGCTTAAAATTTATACATAGAACATAATCAGAATTGAGCACATGCTGCATCTCAGTGAGATTAGAAATCACTAAAAAAAAAAGTCACCAGTCATCCAGGGTTCGGGGTGGTAAATCCGCACGGTCGAAAAACATTCAGATAGTACAGTGTTTTTGGAGAAATACTGATAATAACTTGAGGTAAAAAATGGTTACAAGAGTGGATTTTTTTACTAGGTGCTGGTTGTGTTATGGAATTATACCAATGTTTAGATTTATCCTCACACGCATACAGAGGCGTATGTATGATATAGTAAAAGCCGCCCTCACTGAGTGCTGTGATCTCGGGTGGGTTTTGTCTTTCTCATTCTGCTTCTCTGTATTTTCCCCAGTTTTCTATAAGAGACATGCGTTCCTTTTGTTGAGATGATGTGTGAAACACGTTTAGAACGTCCGCGTTCATGTAGCAGAGACCCATGCAGCTCGTTAGCTGACGGATCCTTAGTTAATCCAAAACGTGACTCGCAACAAAAGCCCTTGTAGCTTAATTAGAAAGTAAATACGTTGTTTACCAATTTCATGTTTTAGAGTCCAAACCCGCTGTTAGACCTGCTGGTTCCGACAGAGTCACAGGCACGAGAGGAAACGGATGACATCAGGACGGCTGTGAGGCAGCAGCTCCAGAAAGAACTGATCGCTCTTTTCAACACCTTGCTGCTCAGCTTCGCGGCAGTTACTGACAGGTACCGTCATGCCACTGAAGGTTTGGGGACATCGAGGTGGAACTGAGTTTTCTTTTGATTTCCAAACTGCTTTACTTTTCACGTGTTTTAATTCAAGAGGAGGAAAGACTCCAGCACTAATCGGCGGTGGTCCGTTTTTGTTTCAGCTGACTCGTGTGGCCCGATCACGTGTCACACACACAGTTCCGTTGTCCTCTAGGCCTTAGCTCTTGGTCGTCTTTCAGTCCTCTACTCATCCACCCGAGCAGTCACGTCGTTTCTCTGACTTTATGACTGTTTTTGCATTAATGATTTTCAAATGTGTATCTGTGGTTCTGACTTCTTTTTTTTAATTTTTAAAATTAGGTAAAATTTACTATTTACTTTAACCATTTAAACATGTACAATTGATGGCTTTTGGCGTAGTCATAATGTTGCACAACTATCACTAATTAATTCCAGAACCTTTTCATCACCCCCAAAAGAAATCCTGCACCCATAAGTAGTCCTCGGTCACCCTGTGTAGGCCCCCGGCAGCCACTCATTGTCCCGCATCTACGGGTTTGACTGTTCTGGTCATTTTCTGCAAATACAGTCAAGCAGCATGTGGCCTTGTGTGTCTAGGTCCTGTCACCTAACGCATTTCACGGTTCACCTGTGTCACAGCACATGCCAGTGCTCGTTTCTCTCCGTGACTGAGCCTGGCCCACACCCGGCTGTGCCAGTCCGTTTGTCCGTCTGTATCGGTGGGCATTTGAGTTGCTGCCATGAACATTCATATACAGGTTTTTTGTGAACATGTTTTCGGTTCTCGAGTATATACCTGGGACTGGAATTGCTAATTCATGCGGTAGTTCTCTGTGTAACGTTTTGAGGACGAGCCAGACTGTTTTCCGCAGCTTTCTTACTGTTTCGCATTCCCGCCAGCCTCGTATGAGTGTTCTAATTTCTCCACGTCCTTACCAGCACTTATTGTTATTGTATTTTTGGAGAAACATCTATTCAAGTTCTTTTCCTAATTTCGAATTGGTTTTTTGTCGTCGTTGTTGTTGAGTTGTCTTTATGTATTCTGTACAGTAATTCCTTACTATATGTATTATTTGCAAAATTTTCTCCAAGTCCATGGATTATCTTTTCATTCTGTTGATGGTGTTCTTTGATGCACAAAGTTTTTAATTTGATGAGGTCCTGATGTGCTTAAATCTAGGGGCTTTGCTGGAGAAAAAGACCTGATCCCACATTTTAAACCATCCGAAGTGTCAAACAGCCCTGATTCAGTTCAACACCTGATTATAGCCAAAAGCTCAGCGCATAACCCAAGTCTTGAGATGAATTGGCAAGCCTATCCTATGAGAAATTGTTATCTATTTCACTCGCAATAGCTCTTTTATACAAATATTTGATATACAGTCATAACTGAAGAGAATTGTGAACAAGCAGGAAAATGTCTCTCATAATTAAGAGAAAAAAGTCACTAGAAGCAGATCCACAGATGTCAAATATGAGAAGAAATTTAAAACTACTATTACAAATAATATTGTTTTAAGTAATAAATATAATAGATATTAAAGGAACAGATGGACAGGATTAATGAAAATATGGAGAATGTCAACAGCAGAGAAATGGAGACTGCAAAAAAGAACTAAATACAAATTCTACAACTGAGAAATACAATTTCTAAAACAATTCATTACATGAGCTTAACAGCAGACTAGACATGGTAAACGAAAGGATTAGTGAATATAGAACATGAGTCGATGCAAATTTCACTAGGGGGGGACAGCTGGGAGCCTTCTGAGGTGCCGAGAATATTTCGTGTTTTGTTACGCTTGTCGGTTACACGATTACATGCATATGTAAACCATCACATGGTGTGCACGTTAAACTTGCGAATTTCACCGCATGTGAATTATGCCTCAGTAAAGTGCTGAAGACAAGAACCAAGTGGAGCCAAGGGCGGCGGAGCCTGTGCATCTGGACCTGGAATGTGTGCAGGGACCTCTCCCGGGGCTTGTTAAGGCGCGAACGTCAGTAGCTCAGGAATTTACACGTTCAGTGAGCGTTGCAGGTGGTCCTTGGACTAGGCTTTGAGAAATGATGGCGTAGTCTGTTCTTTAGGCGAGTTTCGATGTTAAGGAAAGGAGTGTGGGAGACACCTTCGTTCATGTGTTGGTCAAGAGCAGGTTAGGATTTGTGTTTGGGGATGGAAGTTACTTCTGTATGCTTGTAGGTTGCCGGTCATGTGCTTATTATAAGGATAAATTAGAGTAAGAGGAGCAGAGAGAGGCAGGCAGGTCAGTAGAGAAGGAGGTGGGAAGAAATGGTGAGAAAACGGGGGAGGGGAAGAGATGTGTGTTGCGGAGACAGAATCGAGCGAGCAGTGTGGTAGAAGGGCGTGTGGGAGAGAGAGAGAAAGTGGCATAAAAGGGGCCAGTCTGTAGGTCGGGAGAAGGACGTCAAGGGAGTTCACTTCTGATAATTTCGTTTTTCCCTCTGAAATGAGAGGCAAAGTCATTTGCCAAGAGGGGAACTTGATGGTGATGAGACAAGTTGGTCGTGGAGCTTGGGAACGTTTTCAGGGACCAGGAGAGGGGACTGGTCACAGACAGGCCAGAGTCTAACTGAGGTTGGAGGTTAGAGCTTGCAGTGCACCAGGCTGTGTTGGGATGCTTTTGCTCATTCTTCTGAAGTGATTGATTTGGGTAAGAGGAGCAGAAAATGAGGTAAAACAGAACATTTTTAATGATGTTTAAAAAACAGACCATTTTTAATGATGTTAGTTAGATTACTTTGTTGTTGACCTGTGAGAAACATGAATTTATATAAGTATTTCTAAAACTTTAAGAGCACCTAATGATAGGTATATAAAAATTATGACCTTTAAAAGTTATACCTGTACACTTATTGAGATGAAATATAGTCCATAGTTGTCAATTTTAGTCTTTTTAGTCTAAAGGCCTGTAAAACTGAAGAAATTCTAGATTTTCAGTGTTTTGTTATACAATATTACTTTTTCTAGGAATTACATCTTTTGATCTGTGCCTAGCTACTTAATTTAGGAGATTTTGTTTTCTAATAGAAAACGTCTCTTGATTGTTTTTTATGCGTCAAACTCATTAAAAGCTTTCTTTTTCTTTTATATTAGCTTTCAGGAAAAAAACACATTGTAGGCAATTAAAAATTCAATTTTTTAATGATGCTGAATGATTAAAAGTATATGTTTAGCCTGTGCCAGTTAAACTCACTTAAAATATGCATTTAATTTTTCATTCCAACTTTTCATTTTTATTGGATGGCAATTGCAACATCCATTTCTGTATTTTTATGCAGTTATCACTGTTACTTTACATCATATACCTTAGATGATGTTTTAACTATGTTTTTCTTGCAAAGTCTTGTGAGAGGGAATATTTTCCGTCGTTTCTCCTAGTACATACTTTTCCGATACAATCTTGTACCACCAGTAAGACAGCTGCCCACCCACAAAGTGCGTCACACTTGTTCTGTGGTTGATATTTTTCCCTCCTTTACATACACAGGAAATGCTTGGAACTGTTTTACGTCTTCCAAACACAGCTGGCCCTGAAACTGCTGCAGTGTCTGCGAGTCACGGATGCCCCTCACTTCTATGGCCTGCCTTCCCTCGAGAGGACCTTAGGGGGCATGGCTCACCTCACTGCGCTGCCGGGGTGGAGCGCGCATTCCCCCCTTACAAGGCCCCTCGAAATTTGTGTGAAGTACTTGTCAGGCCTCCTGGAAGTAAGTTGACATGACCAATGACATACCACAATAATAGAAACCCCCAAGTAGTTGTTTACTGTTTATCGATTGCTTCCTGTGGGCCAGGCAAGCGGTAAGTGCATTATATGCGTGACTGTATTTACTGTAGATTATTATTCAGTATGTATATGACTCATCGTGATGGTTAAATGTTTTACTGATTTTTATTAACAAAGACATAAGATCACTTTTAGGAATACACTCCTTTTCAAGAAAAAAAAACTAAGGCTTACATTTAAGTGTTCTCATTAGGGTGATTTGTTTATTATATTGTTTAACCTTTTTATTTGTGAAATACACCACATATGTGAAAAATCTATGTAACGTAAGTATGTAGCTCGGTCAGTTATCACATAGTGATTGATGCCCATGTGACCACCCCTGATCCAGAAGCGAAGCCTCACCAGCTCCTGGGAGTGGTCCTCAAACGTGCTCCCCATCTCCACCCCTCCTGGCCAGTGGTGGTTATCTGAGTTCTGTGGTCACCATTTGTTCGTGTTTTCGTGGTTTTGCCGTTTAAGTTCGTGTCCACATGCACCATAATTCCTGACTTGCTTGCTTTTGTGAAGCGGAAGCCCAGTCCGGCTTCTGTCTTCGGTCGTCCTGCTTGTCAGAACCGCTCATTTCGCCGCCCGGAGGTGGCGTTCCTCATTCCTGTGTGGTGGTCTCTGCGACGGCGTCGAAGGGCACGTGGCTCTTTTTCTTCCAGTTCAGGGTGACTTTGGATATGGCTCCTATGAACGTCCTCCTCGGTGACAATGAATTTTTGTAATTTTATTTTCAAACTGTTGTCGATATGTGGAAATACACCCAGCTTTACAAATTAACCACATACCAAGGATCCTTGTTCCAAGTTCAATGGAAAGGCTTTCATTGTTCACCTCTCAATATGCTCTTTATTGTAGTTTTTTTCAATTAATTAAAGAAAAGTCAAATTAAGGAAGTTTTCTTGTCCTATATTGCTAAGAGTTTTCTTTTAATCATAAATGTATATTGTTTTTTCTATATCTTTTGATAATCATTATTTTTTTCTCCTACATCCCATTCAGGTGACAAATTACATAGACTGATTTTCAAATGTTAACCTTGCATTTCTGGAAAAAATTTCAACTAGGTTGTGATGTGTTATTCTTTTTACAACTTAACAAAATTTGTTAATATTTTAAGAATTATCCTACCTATTTTGTTATGCAAAAAATGTTTTTGGAATTATTGCGTCTGTCTTAGAAAACCGTTGTCGGGTTTTAACATCAAAGTCATTTCACCCTTATATGTACATAACTTTCTCTTTTTCTTTATATAATTTTTTTCATCTTTGGAATAGTTTATTTGAATTGGTCTTATTTCTTCCTTAGATATTTAGTAGAATTTGATGGTGAAGCAATCTGGGCCTAGAGGTTTTTTTGGGGGAAGACTATAAATGACTTGAATTTTTACAACCTAGAATTACTCAGATTTCTTATTTTTTCATGTCAGTCTTAGTACATTATGAATTTCTCTAATTTTACCCAAATCTTTGAATTTACTGCCCTAAAATTACTCATCAGACCATTAAGCGCCCCTCCCCTGTCTCCGGTTGGGCCCTGGTGGCTGTGCGCCCCCCCAACCCCCCAAGAACCAAGAACAGGCCCCGTCTTTGCCCTTCCCTGCTTAGTGTACCTCCGTGTGATTAATGTCTGCTTAGACTTATTTCCTTCTCCTTTCGATTTAACTTACGACTCTTTTTTCTGACATTTTAAGGTGGTGGAATCTTCATTTTCTTTATTTCTTTTTTTTTTTTTTTTAGCTTTTTTTCTCAAGTGTCCGTTTTTAGCTGTAACTGGCTTCTGAGCATGGCCTTAACCCCATCCCACAGATTCTGTCTTCACTGAGCTCACTACATTATCGGTATGGTGTGGTAAATGTAGCGACAACATGGATTTATAGGGGAGCAACTTCGCCCAGCACCCCACCAGCCTCGCGTGCATGCCCCCAGTCAGTGCACGGGGGCAGGGCTCAGCTGCAGGTGATCTAAGCCTCGGCAGAACTTCTGCAATCCCTCTGGAACGTGAGAACGTGACAGGCTCGTGAGGAACTGCTACAGAGCCTTTGTCATTTGCTTCACTCTGTGGTAGGAAGTGTTAGGAGCCTGTTTCTTTTGCCTCCTGGGTTCTGATGGGGAGGGCTTTCGGCCTCACTCCTTTGGGGACAGCTGTAGGAGCTCCCTGCCACCTGCACTGCTGTCATCTGGCCCCTCTGTGTCAGGGTCCCCTGCACAAGGGACACTGGGAGCTCCTGGCACCTTGGGCTCCTCTTCCTTTTGCTGTTTAAATAATGAACTGTCTGAATCTAAAAATGGCTCTTCGTTTCCTTCCTGACCGAATCTGTCAGCGTTACTCGCCTTGTAGGGCTCCGGGGTGGCCAGCGGTTGAGTGGTAGTTCGAGGCTGGGATCAGTCACCACGTCAGGACTTCAGGAGAGGCTCTCGGACGAGGCAGGGCAGGGACCGATCTTGAAAGATGAACGAGCTGATCGGAGCTGACGGGCGTCCCAGTCATGGGATGCTGACCGAAGTCTCCACAGCGGCCTGTCCCTTTTCGTGCTGCACAGTCAGACTTGCCGTCAAACCCTCTCCACCCAACAGGCTGTCCTTCAGAAACAGAAACCTCTCAGTCCGAACCTCCTTCTCCGAGTGCATAAAGCTCTTTATAATCTTGCATTTTGAGTCTTATCTCTGTTTTGTTTTTTCTCCACATCTCTTGAAGTTTCAGTTACATATGGCTATATAAAAAAGCTTATTGAAAAATCTGGTTCCTTCCTATAGTTTCTTTTCTTTTTGGGGGTGACAGTCTGTACACATAGTTTAAGATCACACTCCTTCATTTACTTTCCTTCAGTAAAAGCCTTTTTCATTCTTTCAGACATAGACACTCAACACATGGTGTCTGACTGACTTCTGTCTTCCGCAGGGTCCATGCCTGCGGCAGCTTACAGGTGCCGCTGTTACGGTGCTTAATGCACTGCGTTTGTGTTTCATTTGACACGCTGACCTCTTAGAACCCGAGCTTGTAAGAATCATCTCTGGATCATTTCCAGGATCATTTCCAGTGTCACATAGCTCCCCCTTGGCCCAGCACAGTGATGTGTACATAGTAGACAGATGATGAATAATTTAATTTATATTGTCTTATATATGATTTTTAAATTGGAATACAGTTTGAACAACTAGAATATGACATAAATGAGCATAAACTATGTGTGTTTAATTTTTGTACTTTCATTATTAAATTTTGCTTTAGGCAATGTTTGTATACTCAGCTACAAGCATGCTCCAGATGATGCTATCTAGAATTTCTTTCCAAAAGTACATCTTGCTTTTGAAGATTTCAAAATCTAAAATACTCTGAATTATAAAATTTAATATGAATTCTTGTGTAGTCACTTTAATGAAATAAATTTTTTTTCTCTTGAATAATTGTAAATATTGGAAAAGGGCAAACTGCCAGTGTGTTAATTAGTTATCCATGCTGCAAGGTGTCCATGACTAGAAATGTATGCATTTTTAGAATGGATATATTAGCTTAAGACTTACCATAACATTTTTTAAAAAGTAAGCTCCTCTAATGCATTTAAAATATAATTCAGTGTGTAAGTACTTAATTTATAACATTATTTGTAATGTGAAGGTCGTAGCCCCTTAAGTAAGAAACATTTCTTTTAATGTTACTGATAGGAACATGTCGAATTCCTCAGACACGTGGGAGAGAAAAAGTTATCTACTGATTTAAATAAAGATATACTAAAATACGGAGTAGAAATCTAAGATATTGCTGAGAAGTGAGAAAAATGTTCATTTACATTTAAACCATAATTCTAGAAAGTCTAGCCTAACCATGGTAGTCAATAAGAGTTTTATATAGCTAGTAATTTCTAAGTATACTTTTCAACAAGATATTTATAAACTGTTTTACTTTAAGGGTACTATAATATTTGAGGAATATTATGAACAAATTCTAAATCACAAAAATCTTCTAGAAGGACACTATATCCTTTGTATAAGTTTCAAAAGGAATATGCTTTAAACTAAGAATATTTATTTTAATTGTGGTAAAATCACAAAAAATTTACCATCTTAACCATTTTTAAATGTATAAACGGACACTATTATATATCTATCCTGTGTGTGGTTAGGGTTCAGTTCAGACAAGTCAGTGAAAAGTGGCATCATTAAATTGTTTACATTTGTTTTTCAGGTCATTACTTCTTTTTATGTGGAACGTGGAGGAAATGCCATGTCCTTCATGGGAAAAGGAGTCACAAAGAGCACGATCCTCTGCTTGCTTCATTTGTCCCATGAGATGGTGGCCCAGGGCCCAAGCTCGGTGAGGGCCTTGCGAGCGGCCTGCCTTCTGAACGCAGCCAGCACCGTGCGCTGTCTGCCACGTTTCAAGTGCACTATATGAAGTGCCTCTCTCGACTTTTCTTCTCAGGAGACAGAAATGATTTTTTACCAAGGTGTTTCTTAGAGGTTGTATATTCTACAAATCTGAACTTTATTTGAAATTTATTTTGATTAAAGTCTGCATTGTAGACTCCATTTTCTTCTAAATCATGGGGAAAATAGCTGTTCTGAAGAAAAATTGTTATGTTTCACTTTTGAAGAAGTTGAGATTTTTGTTTGCCTTATTTTAGCTAAATGATGGATTATAACCCTTTCTTAAGTACAGTTTTACTTTGTTCGGATTTTTTAAAGTTCAGAGTTTGCTAAAACTCCCTCTGTTTCGGTCTTAGAAACTTACCTGATGTGCTTGTTTCCACTTCCTTTTGCTTCTAGGAGTGGATGTCACTTTGGTTCTTGCCTCTGGGGAGTCACAGCGAAGAGCACAGCCCTGCTCAACACGGGTTGGCTTGGTTGATCCCATTGTGGGTTGATCGAGACCCAGAGGTCGGTGCGCAGAAAAATCAAGTTCATCATGTGTAGATTAAAAAGCAAGTGAAACAAGACATACATGCATATACATACGTATGTTTCCAAAATGAGATTATTTTAGTCACTCTGCCTTAAGCCTTATTTACCCCATCTTAATCAGCTTGGGCTGCCATCACAAAGTACCATAGATGGGGTGGGCGGGGCGCTATTCATGAACATCAAAAATTTATTGTCTCACAGTTCTGGATGCTGGACATCTAAGGTCAAGATGTCATCATGGTCATCTTCTGGTGAGGGCTTTTTCTGGCTTTCAGACGGCCGGCTTCCCAGTGTATGCTCAGTGTGTGACCTTCCTCTTTCTGTGAGGTGACCGTCTTGTAGGATTAGGACCCCAGCTAATGGGCTCGTTTAACTTTCACAACGTCCTAAAAGCTCTGTCTGGAAATGCAGTCACATTGGGGTTTAGAGCTTCAGCATAGGAATGGGCGGAGGGCGGGGGGGACACAGTTCAGTTCACAGCACCCTCTGCAGTCAGACTCATTAGTGTACAGACTAAAAATAGAAAAAAAAAGATGATAAAAATCTATCACTTTTAGAAAGGACAGTGGAAAATTACTGGAAAAATCCATCCATTTTCAAACAATTTAGCACAGCTATTGAGTGATATTTGAGTGTCATTTAAAAGAATAGTAGTACCATTACAGTGCCAAGTTTTATATTTTTAATGAATTTTCCAGTTTTAGCCTTTGTCCACCAATTTTTTTTTTTACAAACTACTTTATTAAGGTGTGATTGACTTACAAATATCTATGTATTTAACATGTACAACTTCATAAGTTTGGAGATAAGTGTGTACCCCGAAACCATCATCACAATCAATGCTGTAAACATATCCTTCACCTGCAGAAGCTTCCTCCTGCCTTCTTTACTGTTTATTCATTTGTTTGTTTATTTTTGTGATTAGAGCACTTCATATGAGATTCACTCTCAGCAAAATTTTAAGTATATAATGCAATACCGTTAACTGTATATACTATCCATGAATTTCAAGCAAGAAGTGATTTTTTTTTTTAAATAATTTTGGGGATAATGCTGAATGTCTTATAAAAAGATAATTCCATGCCTTCCTTTTGCAAAGAAGTTTTAAAAAACTCAAAACCATTTATTTGGAAGAAACACTAAAATATTAAGGAAGGTAGAAGAAAATAATAGGTAACCTCTTTAAAAATGAGACATAAACAGGAGTTGGTTCATAAAAGAGACATAAGCACTTTCTGCTTTCCATAGAAAAAGGCTTGAGAGCTATAATTTTTATTATAGCTCGTTTTGACTTGTGACATTTCCTTTCATTTAACTTTTTTATTTTTTATGTTATTGCTTTCTTGAGTCATGGAATAGGATTTTTATTCACTCGTAAACTTGTAGGACACCGTTTTCTGTGTCTTTTATAGTTTAGGATCATCAAGAAGCTGTCATAAAACTGATATTTTATGTACCAGGAAGATTAAGAATTTATGTTAGGAGGTCAGACTCTTTGATTTGACACTTTTTGTTTGGCTTCAGCAGGTGAGGTTCACGTCCCTGGGCTTAGGGTCGGCCCTGACTGCCCTGGAGGCCGGCTGCGTGGCCTTAGCGAACAGTTGTCAGAACATTTCTGGTGGGATCTGGGGAACTGTGGTGAACATTCTTCTGGACCAGTCGGAATGCAGCATGGTGCGCCGGGAGGTAGGCCTGTCCGAGTGGCGCTGCCTCCCTCCCTCCCTCTAGGGGCCCGTGGGGCGCTCCTTAGGACCCCTGCACCCTGCGCCCAGTGCACGGGACTCACCGTTGCCTTTGGTCTCTCCTGCCTGTGTGAAACACCCCAATGAAGTGCTGGTGGACAATGGAAAAGATAGGAATTCACGGCAAACACTGTGGTCCTTTATTCTGAGAGGGTTAAAGTAGAATTTGGTATATTTTAATATGAACTCTTATTGCACGTTGAAAAGAAGTTTGCAGAAACAAAATGTTGCCTCAGTGTTTATGGGTCTGTGATGTTGATAAAGCTTTAGTTAAAGACAAAAGCTGTCCAAATACTCTGTCGTATAAGAGGAAGTGTAAACCCTATTCTAATTCTTTCCTTCATTGCCGCTTTTATCAAAGTCGTGAGAGATGCAGATAGTTTTAAAAACAGTAATCGCATTGTACTTGGAATCACGTAAAGAAAATGGCAGCTCCTGGGCCCTCCGTTAGCCAGCTCCTAGTTCCAAAGTCGGAGGCTGTGTTTTTTTTGAATGTGATGCTTAAAATCGTAGCAGCTTCCTGATTGACCAGTGTAAAGATTATCTATTTATTGACTTGCAGTTAAGATGGTTGAAAATTCTCAAGATCTCTCTTTAGGTCTTGTCCGTTGTTCCTGTTACTCTCCCATTGTATCGTAATCTCTCGCTAAATAGATAATCAGTGTCCACATTAGCATGATTGTTTAATTTAGCCATCTTCAGGACCTGGGAGGTTAATTAAGTTGGACATTTGTGTTTCGTAGTTCTAGTTAGCGAATGTTTATTGAGAGGAACTTGTGTGAGAGAGGAAGATGGTGAGAGGGGTGTGTGTGTGTGTGTGTGAGAATGAGTGTGTGAGTATGCGTTGTCTGGAGGATAATAGGAACGTGAAAGTATATTTCCTAACTGCTACCAGAACAGTTTATATTTACAGATCATTTTTTTTGAAAAACAGGATTTTGAAATAAGAAAAAAATATATTTCTGATGAAATAATTTCATCTGCTGTTAGGTCATCGCCTAATAAGAAATGCAGTTTGGCAGTTCTCAAAATGACCTGTCAGCACGTGCAGTTGGCCAGCGATGTTTTTTGTTAATAAATTACGGTATGTTGGTTATTTCAGAGATGACAACAAGATGGCAGTATTGACTTTTTTTTTTTTAATTTCAGGCTGCATTTATTCTTCAGAATCTCCTTGTAATTCCAATGCCTTCAGTAATTTTAAAGGATTATACTTGGCAGGTGGGTGACTTTAAACAATTATCAACCTAGTAGATTTTTGTGGTTAATCGATGATAAAGTTTCAGCACATATATGTTTCATTATTGGTGAAATTTTATAAAAGGCAACAACATCTCTTAAAAGAAAGTCTAGAAATTTTTTTATGCTTGTTAAGATTTATAAGTTACTTGTAGCATTAAAATAATTTTAAACAAATAATATTAGCTAACATGGTGTTTACTACGTACCAGATACTCTTCTAGGGGCTTAGCAAGTACTAACTTGTGTAATGGGGCTGTGAACCATTGCTGTTCTCATCTCATAGACAGGTAAATGTCAGCACAGGTTTGAGTAGTTTGCCCTGACTCACACACCTTTGCTCTGAGCCCAGGTAGCTTCTCTCTCTTACCCATTCACCATGTTGCCTCTCTTTAATACTAATAAACGAATTTGTTTGTAGTTAAATGTGCCTTGATAGTAACATCTTTTTTCCTTTTCCGATGCACGGTTAGGGTGATAATTACCTTTCTTTGGTTCCTACTGGATGAGTTTTTTGTTTCATGTTTTCATATCAAGTCTAGTAGTACCTAACTTAATAGCCTGCTGCTTTTTAGGTGACTTGGAGGATAGAAAAGTGCTCTCACTGTGGAGATAAGATACCCTGACCAGTACCTATCCACAGGTCCTTAACCTACACCTGCATATTTATTCTACTGTTGCATCTCACTCCCCAGGATCCTAGACAAATTGAAGGTTTCTTTTTAACTTTTCATTAGTTTGTCTTTGCAGAAGTTGCTGAGTGCCGTCAGCTGCAGGGAGGGCAGCTTTTCAGGCAGTCGCTGGAAATGTGAACCCAAGTGGTCGTGAAGGCCCAGGTCTTATTAAACTCTTGGAAAGCTCACTTTTTCAGACTTTACAAACCCAGGTCATCTCAGCCAGTTATTGAAGAGCCCAGGCTGCTTTTGCATGGCTTCCTCTGACTCGTTAGCATGGCCTCTCATCATGCTTGCTCGTGTGTGGTCTGTGTTGTAATAAAGCCAGAGGAGACAGAACTGGAAGGAGTACCCGGGATTCATATTTATATTAATAGTGTAGGACTTTTAATGCCTGTTATCCAATAACTAGATTTTAAAACGTGTTGTTTTTGGCTCAAATACAAATTATCTCTCCTCCCATCGTTGAACTGGTGACACTTGCATCCTCTGAGCTTTCTGGGTTCTGTTAAAGCTCTTGGGGCATTCTCTTAGAGAACCATGTGTAGATATGCACATTTTCTCTTACAAGTTAGGCTGTAGTTTTTTTGATTATTGCCGCTGACATGCTTATGGCAGCCTGTTGGTTTTATTATTCTCCATTTTTTCATCACCGAATTAATTTTCTACTAAAAAGTTAAAGGTAGTGGTTTTGGAGTCTTTTGCTTTGCCTACGTTGGTCAGAATCAAAGAAGTTTGAGAGCTGCTCTAACCCCAAACAGTACTTGATGATGTAACTTTTGCTAACCTTAAGCAAAATTAGAAAACTGAGCAATTATTTTGTGTATTTTTAATAAATTCAGGGTTTTTTCCTCTTTTTTTTTTTTGAACTGTTTTGGTTATTATTTTTATTTTTAAGTGTCCTCATTTAGCAGTATAAATGGTTGGTAACCTAGTATTTGTGTCCCAGTTTTGAAAAGACTTAAGTGGAACTTTAAATTCCCAAAGTGGAAACAGCTGTTCTAAGGAGAGAAAAAGATAGTCCTCAAATATAGACAATGGAATTTCATAATCTCTGAGAAGTTTATTACGGCCAGAAAGAAGGTGCCACATATCCAGTTCTCTAGGGTTGAAACCGCCTTTGGTAGAACGATGCGTAATAGTCTTATTTGACAAAATGTTTCATTAACTTATCTTGGTGTACCTTTTACAGTATTTTGGGGGACGTAGCAGGAAGTAGCGCCAGCGTCTAGGAGCCTCGCACATGCGTTAGTTTGGTTGAGGTGGCTTTTTGATGGGTGGCTTCACAATGAGGCTCGCTGTTCCTGCCTTGGCTTGGCTTCGATGCCCGAGTCTAACCTGCGCCCGCTGTGCCCTCGCTCCCCTGGGTGATCTGCAGTGTTCTCATATTTTGCTAATGCATAAAAATGCAGAAAAAAGCATTTCATTTACCTCATTTGCCTTATTGATATTGCTAAATAAATAAAGTTAGAAGCCAGGTGTCAATTTTTGTCTCCTAGTCCCCATTTGTTTTATCATGGATGCCGAAACGTTAGAAGTGGGTGGTCACAAAGAGTAGGCGAGATCAAAGCCTGTATCAGCTCAGCTCTCCCGGCTCCCAGCCACCGGGTGGCGGGGGGCGGGAGGCCTGCGGAGCCGGTTCCTGCTGCCTGAGACACCAGTCCTCGGTGTCATCCTCAGCGTGTCACAGGTCTCCCTGCTCGGGGCACACTTTTTTCGGTGGTGGTTATAAACATCGGCCTTTCCTTGTTTGAGGCTGCATTCCTCTGTCAGGGAGGAAAAACAGAATCCCCGTCCAAGGGACCCCAACCTGGGCGGTGGTTTCTAGTCGTCCACTGTCCTTGATCCGGTCCCCACTGTCTGACTTGGCTTTAGCATTTCTGAGCACAAGATTCTGCCACACTGTCTGGTCTGAGGGCCGCCGTCACCAGTCCCTGCCCCTGCAACTCCAACCCGGAGCAGAGCTGTGGAGTCGGTCTCACAGGAGGTCTGGTGGCCAGACCTGAGGTACCTGTGCAGTTTGACTCAGTTCACGTCTGTGAGTGTTTGTTGAGTAGCTAAGTGTTGGGACCTCACACACGATCAGGTTTAGTGCTGTGGGGCGTATGGCGGGGGTTGGGGAAGGGGCCAGACAGACAGACGCCCAGGGAGCGTTATGCAGTGGTTTAGGGTCAGAGTTGTGGCTGTTGGGCAATTTTTGTAATGTTAAAGTTCTTTCTACTTGAAAACTGTACCACCCATTTAAATGTAAAGTTAATTTCATGTGCTTAAATAGTGAGTTGTCGGTTTGTGATGTAAATACACTTGTTCATGCTTTACTTCTTTTCCATGTTCATGATGGAATTTGAATTGGCACATACATTTTATTTTGTTTTTTAAAACCTTATTTTGAAAAAATTGGACTTGTAGCAAAGTTGTAGGAACAGTGCAGTTTTTATATACTCTTTACGCAGATTCTCCAAATGTTATAATTTTACCGAATTTGCTTTAGCTCCGTCTCGCATCTTCTGTCAGAATTGTTGGTGAGTTGTAGACATAATAACATTTTTTTTCTGTCAACACGTGTGAGTTCCTTAAAAACAAGGACATTCTCTTACAAAATCACCATAATAATTATCAAAATTAGGAAATTATTCAGATTTTTCCAATTGTCCCACTGCTGTCTTTATAGGAAAAGTTTTTAAAAAGCTCCAACAATCAGGACCTAGGATCCAGTGCAGGAATACACGTAGCTTGGAGTCGTTGTAGCTATTTGGTTTCTTTTATCTAAAATAGTTCGTAAATCCTCAGCATTTACGACCGCAGCATGTCTGGGGCGTGCAGGCTCTTTCGCTTCTGTAATGTTCTTTCGTTCGGTTCGTCTGTTTTCTCACGGTTAGGTTGGCTGACCAGCCGCTGAAGGGATGCTGCCTTCTCAGTGCAGCGTGTCAGGAGACGTGCTCGCTCTTTGTCCCGTGGCTGGTGATATTAACTTGGCTTATTTGGTTCGGGTAAAGTCTGCCTGGTTTCCTCTCTGTGGAGTTAGTTTTCCCTTTTGCAGGGAGATTCTTTAAGACTGTGTAAATCCCTATTTCTCATCAACTTCCATTCACTCGTTTTGCCTTCTTCTATTCATGATTCTTGTCTGAAACCGTTATTACAGAACGATTGCCAAGTGGTAACTTTCTAATTCCGTCGTTTCTTCTACATTTATTACATTTCACTGTAAAGAAGAGCTTTCCTTTCTTTCCCACTAATTTATTTATTCACTTTTTAAATTTACACAAGTATGGACTCAAGGAGACTTTGTTTCGTGAGTTATAATCTGTTTCGATCGTTATTTGTTCGGTTCTCCTCCCCACTCCTTCATTTAGGAAGCAATTACATAGACACAATTTTGCAAAAGTAAAAATTCTGAATAAATTCATATAATTGTGTAATAAATATACTGATATTCTGGGCATATTATGACATATTTAGAAAAATAGTGTTTGTGCTATGTTATTTAATAATTGTTTTATTGATTTATTGAGTTTCGTTAGGCAGTTGGAGGTAAGCTAGTAAACTTAGCTGAAATATTTATAATTCTCATCTTCTTTGTTAATTCCGCCCCTGAATTATTATTACGAGGGCTTTAATCTGTAGTGTTAAGCAGCTATTGAGAATCTCTTGTGTTGACATCTTTTGTGTGTTTAGGGATGTTAGAAGTGGCTTAAAAGGAAGACCATTTTGAAGCCGTGAATGTTAGAATGGGCTTCGTGGTTGTGGATGGAGTACTTCATCCTGGATAATTAAATAAGGTGAAGCATGAAAGGGCCACATCACCTGAACTGTAATGAATGGGGGCCACGCGACCCTGTCCTCCTTGTACCCTTTCTACCTTCTTCTCCTAGACCTCAAAATGGGAAGTTACACAGTGACCAGCGTGTGTGGGTTGCCATTAGTCTTATTTCTTAAATGCATAAATTGCTCTGTTTATGAAGAGTACACTCACAGTATTGTATAGGTTTATTAGAACACAACAATAACAAATTCAAAACCGTGAAAGGTATTTAATATTAAAGTGAGAGGTTTAATTCTAGTGATGATATCCTTTAAAAGAGGATTGGTAGAAATAATCTTATTAATGTAATTATACCTTTAAGTTCTCAGTTATTTTGTCTTCCTGGCTGGTAAGTCTTAATACCCATCTTTCCTTGGCAATGAGGAGGTATGAGAGAAGGGACACATACAGAAATCTCATGGTTAATGATGGTTTTTTAATATGTTTTGACCATGCCTTTCCTGTTGGCACTTAGATTTCTTTCTTACATATTTTATTTTTCTCTTATGGTCTGTTTTAAAATCTTAACTTTATTATTTTCCAAAAAATAGAAACATTTATAAACTAATGATGGGATTATTTGCAAACTTTATCCTGTTGCTTGATTTTTACCATTGGGTATTCCAGAAAAAAGAGTGAGCGACAGTGCAAACTATTTGAAGACAAGTGTAAAGAGATTAAACTTGTGTAATGGCAGATTCTTCTCAGCCTCCTGGTGGAAAGTGTGTGTGTGTGCGTGTGTGCACGTGTGTGCATGTATGCATGCATGTGCATGTTGTGTGCATTACCCTTGGCAGACTTAATTTGGTGGGAAGTAAAGTAGCAAACCTACTTTCCCATACTGATGAGCCTTTTCGTTTTATCTTACCGATAGGTACAAAAATAACCTTGAATGTAACTACTTGGACCACATTATTTCAGATATTTTAATACTTATTGTATGGTTTCTGTGTAGGTTGTACAATACTGCTTTTCTTGTATCTGTGGCTCAAGTATATAATTTCTTGGCCGAAGCCGCGCAGGCGGTCTGCCGTCGGTGGCTTTCGGGTGCGAGGCCCGCGGTCAGGTGCCCGGCCCGGAGGGGCGAGGCGGTCATAGGGTGCGGGGGCATCGGGGCTGCTGAGCTCCGTGCAGGGGAACGGGGGGAGACACGCGGGTCCATCTGAAGAATTGCATGATAAGTCACTGTCCTCTTTCTGTCTCCCCCCTTTCCTGTAGGGCCCCTGTGTCCACGACGAGGACTCCGGCCTGTCCCTCGTGGGAAAACCTGCCCTTCAGGCTCTTCTGTATCACTGCCATTTTTATGCACATTTGAATCAGATGGCAAAACATTGTTACCTGGGACGGTACACGTTCGATTTGAATTGTTCTGCTCTGCATGGAACTTCAGAAGGCAGTGACCTAAATGGTAGGTGCATTATAATTACATTTTTATAAAATGCCACATTCACCTCCAGTCCCACTGCCCCGAGATGCCTGTGTCGCGTTAGCTGCATTTTCGTCCAGTCGTCTGTCTCTGTCCAGCTTCTGTTTGTTTTGCATAATTGTGTTCACGTCTTATGTGTAGTGTTTTATCCCTTCTTTTCACTAAACATTGCCGAAGCACTTTTCTGTTATAAATTCTTCATGGGAACCATTTTTGAAATCATGAATATTTCATAAGTCATCTCATGCCCTTCAGCAAAGTTCTTTACTTTTTCTCTATTATTGTCTTGAACTTTAGGAAGGTTCTTCCTAGGTGACCGAGAATGAGACTTTTTCCTATTAAATTTTCTAATTATTTTGCTAACGTATTGAAAAGTTGTTTATATTCGGTATGTACTCATCAAAATATCTTGCTGAAACCTTTTAATTTCATTGTAGATTCTCTCAGATTTCCTAAGTAGAAGATCTTAGCACATATAAATAATAATTCTTGTAACAATTTATGATGATTTAATAATAAAGATAAAGTTAAGTTTAAAATTAATTTCTAAATTAATTTAAAAAAATCTTGACATACTTTCACACTTATAGAAAAGGTAGAAGAATAGTACAAAGATTTCCCAAGAGTTAACAATTTTACCATATTTGCCCTCCATGCCACGTGTATGTATGTATATGTATATGTGTGCATAATTAAAATTTATTTACATGTACATACGTGTGTCTGTATATATTTTTCTGAATCATTTAAGAGTGAATTGCAGACACGAAAATCCTTTACCCTGAAATATTTAAGTATAAATTTCTAATTCACTTTCCTGCTCACTTCTTGGAAGAATTAAGAGGAAATGACATTTGATGAAGTTTTTGAACATTCTAAATAACTGTCCCTATTAGGAAGGTGACCCATTTAATTTTTGGATCCCTTTCGCTTTGTGTTACTCAAGGTCTGGCCCTCGAACCACCAGCACTGACATCTGCTGTGAGCTTGGTAGAAATGCACATTTGCGGCCCCACCCTGATTTGGGGACATGGATTTCTTGGAATAGGACCACGGAACTGCTTTAACAAGCTCCTTGTGATTCTCATGAGCATTAACGTTTGGGAGCTGGCACTCTTGATAAATTGTGTTAGATTAAGCTAAAGCGCAGTCAACTAATTATCATTAAATTCCTTTGTGAAACAAGCTTTCTATATAAATTGATTAAGAAAATAAAAATTAGGCAAGCCTCTTAGCTTTTGACTGGTTTCACGTAATGAGTGTTTTTTTCCTGTTAATTGTTACAGTACCTAGGAGACTCTTCATGTTGACAGTTTTCCCTTCGTCACAGGTTTAGACGACTCATTCAAGTTTTGGAAGGCCCCTTCTAAGACGTCCAGTCAAGATCGGGATCCAAGTTCACTCTCCACCTTGGAAACAATGGTACTTCCGAAGAATGCATAAGGGCTTCGATCCGAATCTCTGAAAAAGTTTAATGTTGCACAGTGGAGAGAGAAGAATGGGTGGAGGTGTGAGGTTCTGACCGTGTCCACTGTGCTTCGCTCCGATGCTGTCTGCACAGAACACGGTCGGCCCTGCTCGGGTTGCTGCTCCGAATACCCTCTCAGACGCGTTCTCAGCCTCCGTCCTTCCTTTTTCGATAGAATCAAAAGTTTAAAACTTTATCAGTCGTGGTAGAGGAAGGCAACAGATCCTATATGATTACTAGTGTTTGATTACCCTGAAATTTTGGTTAAGGACAAGGCAATTTGGAGAAAGTTGACCTGTTTAAAGGACTCCAGTGTGGTCCGGGAACGCTTTTCTGCATAGTTGCATCAGATAGAAGCTCATCTTGATTATGTGAAATACCTGAAATTTACATATGCCTGCCTGCCTTTTTTTTTCTTTTCATTCATAAGTTGCTTCGTTCTAAAAAGTTCGAGGCACCGTTTCTAAATAATAACCGATGTTAGGTGTCATTTGTTTTACAAGCACAGAAAATCACTTATCCTCAACTGGAAAACATGTTCAAATGTAAAGTATTTGGGGAACAATTGCTGTGTTGTAGAATCTCTTAGAAAGGCAAAGGCTTGGCATCCTGCTTCCAGGAGCAAAAATAGTAGTGCGAGAATGATAAATAATTATACAGGCGTTAACAAGATTCATTTACTACAGTTTCTCATGAGACTGGTACTTTTTGGTACAATTTTCAGAGTCTTTTTTTTTCCCCTAGATTCAGAAGAGTTTTTGAACATTCTAAGTAAAAAGCATGTTTTGTTTTTAGTGCTTAAACCTTTATTTTGAAAAATAGAATAATTACCCCAGTTCCACTAGATGTCATGCTTTCCTTTCCAAGCTAGAAATAGTGTGTCTCTCTGTCTCGGCGAGAGAAATGATGATACGACTCAATACAGAAAGGAGTTGTATTAATTGGGTACTTAGTTCACAGAAGGACAGCATTAATAGGTGCTTAAAAGTAATTCCCTTTAGGTCACTCATTTGTTTCAAGGGCCGTGGCTAACCTGGGGACCTTCGTGCGCCCTCCAGCTCTCCACCTGTAGTAGCTGCTCAGTAATTGCTCTAGTTAACTTGGAGCTGTCTTAGCTGTTTTGTAGATAGCAAGTTATATTCGTCCGATATGAGAAGAGCTAAGAATAAAAAGCAAATCGAACTTTTGCATTTCCTTATTTTATAACAACACGTAAATATTATAGATTAGGGTGCAAGATTTTCCAAGAAAAACTTCGGAAATTTTATCGTAATCATTATAAAAATAGAATCACCTCTATTAATGTGAAAGTCTTTAATTTGTGTTAGGATGTCACATATATTTTTAGAAATTTACCAGTGAAGATTTTTTTAAAAGAATTCTTATATATAGTCCTATGTAAGATTTATTTCTTGTAGTTTCGCAAATGAAAATTTTATCTATTAGAACTTATGTAGTCAACTCTTTCTTTTTTTGGATTCCAAACAGAATAGTTTTGGCATTGGTAGCTTTTATTCACCAAATTGGTGACTTGTATTGACAAAAGTAGTCTAATTACATCAGTTCTACTAATTGTCAGCGTTTTCCTTACTATGCCGGAGATGCTTTGTATCTTTGTCCCAACAGGAGAAAAATCTGGATAATTTATTTGTCATACCAATATTATTTTAAACCTAAACTGTAAGTATTCAGACCAACCAACCAAACTTACTCAAGTATAAGAAAATGTTGAAATTGCAAAGGGAGGTATCAGTTGAGTGGATGTAAATCTTGCTAATAACCTTTATCTGGTTATTTATATAATTATTTTGTGTATCTCACAGAGTTGAGAAAAGATTCAATTTGTTGATTGATTGTTTTTCTATTTTTACTTTCTAAGGAAAGTACTATCCTTTGATTTGGGTCATATCTTCCATTGTGCTGGATCGCTATTCGGTGCTGTTAATGCCATGTTGGGGATTTATTAATGGTTGGTAGGGCAGGTCAGGCATTAGTTGTTTTTCCTCCTAAAATTATATTTCTAGTTCTCAGAATATCCAAACTGGAAGGTATTTATGCCTGGTACATAGTGATGTGCAGCAACAACTTTATGACCAAAATTTGGTCTTTTAAAAAATAAATTAAAAGAGAACAAAGGAAGAAAATAAAGATCTATACTATGAAAAATGATAGAGTGCAAATCTACTCATGTTTTTAAAACCTGGCAAAATATAAGGTATGAAAAGTTTTTTAGGGATTTTAGATCGAGATTAGCCAAGAGAGCTGTCTGTTTTTGGATATGAAGAGGTAAGATATACTAGCTATAAAGATATAAGCATATTTCAGCAGAGTAAAATGGCATGAAACCTTATGACTGACTTTAGAGAAGTCTGGACGGACACTCGTTTGATGGTAGCTGAAAGTTATTTTATAGAATGGAGAGTAGGCCAAGGACAGTTACCACAGGGGTGGAACTTTTTAGAAGAAAGATAGTGTTGACGTAAGGCTTAGTGATGGGGCGTGGGCATTTCAGCGTCCTGACCCCAGGAAAACCTGGGGAGATGGCAGTTTGCGTGACGGTGGAGAGAGAGAATGATGCACTTTGTTTAGATTTCAACTCGCTGTGGATTACTCAGGATCTAAGAACCCGTAGAGAGAGAGAGATTGATGCACTTTGTTTAGATTTCAACTCGCCGTGGATTACTCAGGATCTAAGAACCCGGGCGTTTAGTTAAAAGGAAGATCAGGTGACATTCTAGTTCCTAAGTGTCAGCAACAGGCCACTGGGCTGCAGTACAGTGAAAATTAACAAGTGGGTTTGTTTTTTTGGTATAAAAATTTGATGTCGATTCTGTTTATAAAACATAGGAATCGAAGGTTACTGATACCTTTTTTCTAATATAATAATTTTTCATATCTGATATTAGAATGGGTACAATGGCAGATAAAAATAGGATATTCATTCTATTCTATGAGCATAGTATATACCATTTGTAAATAATTATTAAAAATTATTAGAACAAGTAATATTTATTATATATTTTTTCTGTATCTTGTACTCATTTTGATATGTTTGGAGTTTTCCAAACTAAGTTATTATAGATTTATAACCTCATTTCATTTAGTGCAAACATTTAAAGAAACTGACAAACATTTTGAACTAGATTTCTGCAATTTTATTAAGCGGAAAACTATAACTGAAATAAGTAAAATGGGTTTGGGCCTTATTTTATATTTTATATTTGTATTAAAATATATTTCCTTAATTTTGGCAAAAATCAGTTATTTTACATAATAAAGTTTGATGTGTGGAGAGAGCCGTCTTGGTCTTCTGAGCTCGGATGACGACACCTGCTAGTTTGCTGTGCGCTGCTCCCGTGGGGTGAGCGCCACAAGTGGGCCAGCTCGTCAGACCCGCGCACCTGAGGGCGGCACCCCCTTACTAGTGGAGGTGGACGCAGCGTCTGAGAGAGTGGCATTGTTTGGTCTAAGATCGCGAAGCTAATAGCGGGCGGAGTAGGACAAGCTGTGGGACTCTTGTCTTAAATCAGCTGCAGCACAGCACAGCGCCCGTGGCTGTGTCCTGGAGTTACACCTCTGCGTGCGAGTAGGTGATCTTATCCTTAGACAGGTATCATCTGCTCGTTCCTTCAAGGCTGTTTTTCTGAGCTTTCTTTTTTATGTTGTACACAATTCATTTAATCATGAATCTATACAGCTAAAGTGATTTCAACTTCTTGTTATAATTTGGTTAGAATTAATGATTACAAATTGAGTAGCATGCCACAGCTTTTCTGCTCTTGGGCTCTTAGAGAAAGGTGTCATTTATGGAGATGAATATGTGGGATCCCCCAGAAACTTCTCATGTCTTATTTTTGCTATGTTTTAAAAATGTGAGCAGATTTGTATCCTATCTTTTTTCATACCACAAATCCTCATTTTCTTCCTTTGTTCTCATTAAATTAAAAAAATCAGATAACCTCTTTAGGCACCAATACTGTTTTTCATGAGAGGATGAAAGGTATTATAAAGTCATTTTGACAGATAAAATATGCAACTTCTAAATTAACTTGCAAAAAATTTTAAAGTATCTAGAGAACTCCTGTTTTTGTAAGGCAGAATACAAAGAAAATTGTTTTTGAACATTTTGTGTATTTTGTTTATATGACAAAAAAATTTTAAACTCATTTTAATTCGATATGGTAAATGACTTTGCTACTTACTGCTATTTCAAAGCAACTCTTAATTATAATTGCTTATTTTACAATGATTTATAAAGTTTCTTTAGTTATCACATCTTTTTATAAACACATTGACAAAAAGGTTAACTTTTTAGTTTTTATAAGCAAAATTTGAATCTGTTTTACGACGCCGGCTTTAAGTAGCATCAGTCTACTTGCACTAACAGGCTTTTATTGCCTTCTGTAATAGCAGTAGGATGCTGAGAATAGAATTATCTACTTCAGGTTAAAGAAAACTCAGTCTTATGTGATCAAGGGAATGTAAATTGAAGATCTCAGGCCGTGTCATGTGCAGATGTGGAAGTGAAGGGCAAGTCTGGATTGCGGTTTTGCACTGGACCGTCTTAATGAACAGGGCAAGTGACAGATGCAGGAGTGAGACTCTGTTACAGGACAAGCCTGGCCTCCCACTGGGGACTTAGCCCTTACTGCGGGGTAGTGTGTGTGCCCTGCAGTGGGGAGGGGAAGTGGTGACGAATCGGGCTCAGGCTGCTCTTAAACTGCGCCAGCCCCCCACACCCCCGCCTCCACCTGTGAACGAGACGGAAGTCGGACTCGCGGTGACTTTTTCGTGGGAACGGGAGTCGGCATTCTGGAGGTTTGTCCGAGGACGTCCTCTGATGGGAGTGGATTTGTGGGTCATGATTACAGTCCTGGTTCCAGAACCTTAAAGTCCGAACTGGGCACACCCCTTGGTCCTTGTCTCTAAATGAGGACCGGGACTAGATCAGGCTCTTTACTAGCAGCATTGGACACTCACACGAGCCTTCACCTTCCAGCAGCCACTACTTGAATTTCAAAATCGAGTAGTGGGTACTTGGGTTTCAAGATGACAAGTGACATCTTCACATATTGATGTGTATTATTAAATATAATCAGATATCCACTGAAGATTATTTTCAAACAAGCAAAGATTTGAGCATAGAACTAGAGTAATTCAGTTTAATACTTTTTTGTCTTTACTTATTAAAATGTGCTAACATAGCAAATTTTAAAAATAACGATGGCTAGTAGAAATATAAATCATCCATAATCATTTATGAAACAACATATGTTACTATATAAAGAAGCCCTTGTGTTTTTTCCAACCACGTGGGGTAACTGATAATACAGCTATTAGGCAGACGCTTGTAAAGTCATACTCCTGAATTTGTGAGTCCCTTCCCTGGAGCACACCGAGGAAAACCACAGCCGTCATTAATGCCTGGCCTTCGGTCACGGGTCGCAGCTCTGCTTTTTTCTAATGAGCCAGGGGTGAGTGGGCCCTTAGAAGCTTTTTTCCTGCTTGGGAAGCTGTCTCTGTTTTTGTCAGGGGTCAGGACTGCTTGCCTTTGTCAATTAAAAGGATGTTCAGTGAAAAGATAAAGGATTCCAGCATCGTTATCTTCTTAAATTTTCGTAGACAGCCAAAGGAGCTTGGGTGTCAGGAGCCAAGGCTACCAGTCAGCTCCCGCATCGTTTGTGACATGAGTCTTGGTGTATAACTGTTGTCCTCTCAGACTATGTAAAGTAAGACATATAATGCACGCTTGTTTATGAGTTATTTCGACTCATAACTCATGCTTGTTTATGAGTTTAGACTGAAACTTAACTAGGCTTTTTAGATGACTTTATGTGCTTAGCTTACTTTTTTTGGCTACAGCTTTCTGTCACTTATTTCTTCTTGTGATGTCATATTTTAAGTGGTGAGAGATGATTAAGGTCTTGAGTTGAAAGGGGGATTTTAAAAGCTGTCATTTCATCTGCCATTTTCTTCAAATTCATATTCATTTTGCTATCAGAAACTGCACATGGAAATAACCTTGGTTTTTGCTTTCATTCTATTGCATCAAGTCTCAGATACCCTACTTTAAGCATTACGATAAATATGCAATCAGTGTACAAACATTGTGAGCTGTACAGTCTGAGTTTGTGGTGGGGATGATTCAAAAGTTTATCAGACAGCTCATGCTGTATGCATGCACTGACGTGGACCTTATCCAAGAGTGGGAAGTTCATGCTATCTCAGAGAAAATAAATTGATGGTTAAAAAAAAAAGAGTGATCTGACCTCTCTAGATAAGGTACTTTTCACATAGGAGGTGCCAAACCCCAAATTTTTTAATTTGAGGAGGCCACACAGTCTGCTCATCTATAAATCTGTTGTGAAACTGTATTTGCCTTCAACAGAATTTCTGTTATGTTTAATGTATTAAAAAATGTATACTGAAACATAGTGTCAGCACATTGCTTAATTTTTAAAACGTTCTTTTGCAGTGTGGGGAGAGGTAGAGAAAAGTTTAACTTGCTGCTAAGTTTTTCATAGGCACTATTAAAATTTGTGTGTGTCATTTGAAACTTTAAAAAATTCTTTTATTATAAAAGTCAAGAAATGCAAGAAATTTGTCCAAAAAAAATGAAAAAAACTAATTTGAAAAGATATGTATGCATCCTCATGTTCATTGTAGCATCATTTATAATGCCAAAATACAAAAGCCACCCGAGTGTCCACTGAGAGGTGAATGGATAAAGAAAATATGGTATATCCATACAATTGAATATTACTGAGCCCTAAAAAATGAAATTTGCCATTTGTGACTGCACAGATGGACCTTGAGGGCATTCTACTAAGTGAAAAAGTCAGATAGAAAACGACAAATACCATGGGATGTCTCTTATATGTGGAGCCTAAAAGTGAATGAATGAATAAAGCTCATAAAAAAAGAAAATGCAAAATATCTCAAGGACACAGTGAAGTATAGGTACAGTAGTATGTATTAGCCTTTCAACATTTAGGCAATAAGAGGAAATAGGCCTTATTGGGGCCTTGATAGTCTTAATAGGCTTCAGATCAAAACGTCGCCCCTTTGAGTTACTGAATTACACGAACTGTAACAGGTCTTATAAGAAGTGGAAAATTCCATTCAAAAACCTGTTATAACTCTCAAGATATGGGCTGTTTTCCAGTTGGACTAATGTGTGTAGTTTTGCTGTGAACCTTCGTTTAAGGATATCCTTTGTGTATGCGTTGTTCATGTTTTGTTTGTCATGTGGTAACACTAAGTGTTATGAGTAAAATCATTTCTCGCTGATCCATAGGTGGCACCTTCATTGGAGAGTGATGAATTTTCACCACTTGTGGCCTCAGCCGTGCCTGTCCCTGAAGTCTCACACGACCAGTTTGTGGCCCAAGGTATCCTTTTATTGAGGACATTCTACTCCCACAAAGAAAAATGACGAGCCTGTCAGACAGATATTTTGAAAGTAAATGTCTAGATAAGAACAAAATTAAATAAGTCACAGAACAAAATGTCTGGATAAGAACAAAACGAAATGTCACAGAACAGGATAGAATAAATTAGAATAAATATATCAGAAAGTAACAAAACAAATACTCTTAATTAATAAATGGGATCTTGTCCAACAAACAGTCTTATTGACATATGGTTCTTTATCAGTTAAGCATAGCTATTTGGTGTTTGAATTGAGGAACTGATGGATACTAATTAACTTCATTTTTTTTCCTCTTTTGGGAAGGCACTTCAGTGTGCCATAGCAGTCAACTCAAAAGTGAAGAGAATCTGGTCCTAAGTATTCTCACAGGATTTGCTTCCATTTTAGTGCACACAGAGTGTGTTGAGTCTTTATTTTGCTGCAAGTACATGACGAGTAGCCTAGGATTTATTTTGATTAATGGCAATAGATAAATTTTACACTTTGTATATTTGCAGGTTACAACTTAGCATTAAATTCCTGTAAGGAATATACTGTCTTAAAAGAAGGTAATTTTAAACACTGAGGGTATAACCATTTGCAGAGAAAATACTTCCTAAACTTTAGAAATACTTGCTTAATTAAGACTACTCTGAATTTTCATTACAGTATTTGTTCCATAACTTCCTAAACAATGTCACATTTTGATTTTTAGTAATTTATGTTGACTATATACAAACGTGTTCGATTATAGGAAGAACTTATTTGATTCTCTTAAGAACAAAGGAGCAAACTGAGATTGTTTAAATAGCTAAGGACACAGCGTGGAAAAACATTTGATAACACATTTCATGAACATTTATTTCTAAAAGTATGTCACATTCCTTTTTTGAACAGTTTTATTGAGGTATAATTCACATACCATGCAATCCACTCATTGTAAGTGTGCGATTCATTGGTTTTTAGTCTATTCACAGAGTTGTGCGCCCTGAATACGCTGGGCCGCAGCACCTGACCAGTCCTGGTCTGCGGCTGTGTTCGCTCCCGGGTCCTCCTCATCCCGCTCACTGAGACTGCATATGCTGCCCTGCAGAAATGTCTGTTTTTTTATGGGGTGTCGCCCAAGATCCCATGGGAGGTATTCATTAACCTATGGTATTATTTTTCTAACATCTAAAAATATTTTGAATTCTGAAACACTTCTGGCCCCCAGAGTTTCAGGAAAAGGATTGTGGACCATCACTTTGTTCCGCAGTGTCTGAATGCTCAGGAAACAAAACCATGCTCTGGTTTTTGTCTTGGCCCTGGCACTCTCACCCAAGAGACAGACAGACAGACAGACAGACACACACACACACACACACACACACTCTGGAGGAGGCGACGTCCAGCCCCTCGGTGGTCCGAGCATGGGGGAGTCCCCCACCCTTTCTCGGGCACATTCAGGAACTTGCCGCTGATTCTCAGAACCCCACACACACACACACACACACACACACTCACTCTGGAGGAGGAGACGTCCAGCCCCTCGGTGGTCGAGCATGGGCGAGTCCCCCGTCCTTTCTCGGGCACATTCAGGAACTCGCCGCTGATTCTCAGAACTCGTGACTGTCGCTCGTAACTACAGGCGGACAGAACAGTGATGCTTCTGTGCTTGTCTCCAGTAACAGGTCAGCCTGAGGCCGCGTCCCCGCGGCATCCTCGGGACGCGTCCCTTGCGGCCGCTCTGCCAGGGCGGGCTGTGTTGGTCACCCCTCCTCTTCTGTCAGCTCTGTGCAGCCTGTTGGACAGCCTCCTGGCGGCCGCTCCACAAGACACCGCACACGCACTTCGCCAGGCTCGGCTCATACCGCTTCTCTGTGGGTAAGAGCTCGGACGGCCGGGGAGGCAGGGCGGGGCATGCCTCACACGGGCCCTGCTCACGGCTCCGCGCACCTTGTCCTTCCCAGGCTCACTGGACTGCAGGTGTTTGCTGTTGCCAGAGTTGGCTCGACGGCTTTTACTTTAAATCGATGAAACCGCTTGTATTGGTTTGTTATGTTGACTATTAAGGTCCTCCTTAAAAAATCCTGATTTTTAAAATTCAGAGGTTCTAAACCCTATCCGTCCTCTGCCACACATAAGGAATATTCAGTGCCCTTGGTCGTTCTAAGTGGAAGTGAAGGAGTTTGGGAGTTTATCTCCCTCGTGGTCAGATCAGAACAACGTCCACGGGTCGAAAAATCATTTTTAAAATTCATTCACAGTTATGGAAGCCTGAGCTTTTTATTGCCAAGTATTCTGATAAAATTTAGGGAAACCTTGATTTGGTCTTCATTTATTCAATATTGATAATCCTCTGACATACTCTTTCTAGTTTTGTTATTAGTTATATGGTGTAGTAAAAATGGCCTTAGACATTGAATTCAGTCCACCCGAAGGTCTCATTATAGGTCACTCACTCACTAGCGGTGCCGCCTTGGGGACGTCACTTTAATTTCTGGAGTGTCACCGCTAACACCTATTTAATGGGACGACTGTAAGAATTAAAAGTGATGCTTTTATAAGGTTTCGTTAGATATTTTTCTTCAGAATGCTTTGCTTCCCACATTTATCTTGTGAGATCTTTTCCTGGGTTCTGAAATAGTGTAAAATACCTTTTCATTAACATTTAGCATCTTTATTTATACAGCTCGTTTCTCCTGCATTCTATTCAAGGTTACATTCAAACTCCTAATTCCGAGTCATTAATCATTAATTAGAGGCCTACTAATCATCTGAAGGGTTCCTCGTTCTGTCCTTCACAGAATTGCAGATGCCACCCGCATAGAGACGTGTGTCCAGGAACTCAAGACCCCGCTTCCGTCGTCAGTTCCGGTCGAGCACGCCCAGGCTCAGGTGCGTGCCTCACGTCCGCCTCTGGCCTTGTGTCTGCCGCATGTCGTTTGCTTTAAGTGCCAGATACATAAATTCTGCTGACTGTAGTGAGAGGGGTGAAAATCGCTCGGGAGATAACGACATGGTATAAGGTTATCTGAACTAGGTCGCTTGACGTTTTAACCTGAGACACCTTTGGATGGTAGAAAAGGGCAGAGGGGTTTGAAGACTGGATTCTGTTCCTGATTCCGTCTTAACCAGCTACAGGTGTTTAATCAGGGTCTGCATATCTTTGAATGTCAGACAGAAAAAGGAGGACAGTGTGTGGTCCCCGTCCCCTTCTGTGGTTTTAGGCTATCGCCGTCATTTTCACCTAAATCGAAGTGGTTGAAATACTTCGTGACTAATTTCTGTGTATTTTCAAAACCCAGTCTGATAAGACTACGTTAATTTTTGTTCCGTCACAGGCACTTGTTATTTTTAAGTTCTTGCATACAGCTAGAATCTGTATGTAAAGTATTCTTGATAGTTCTTTGTGTAGTTGTTGTAATAGAAACATTACCTCAAAATCATATGTTAAGAAGGGCTACAAGATTTATTTGGGGTGCCGGTTAGGGGTGGACTAGACCAGTACCTCTTGCTCTGTAGTGGCTTCTTTGACCTTCCGAGTAAGGCAGACGCTTCTTACAAGGCTGGGTAACGCCGTGCGCATCGGCTTCGAAACACTCGTCCCAGCGCCAGGTGTTATTGGTGGCTGCTTCTTTACTTGCATGACCCTCTCCTCCATTTTTCTGTCAGTCCAGTCACCAGACCTTTTATCAGGGGCCTACCGCACACCAGCTCCTTCCCGAAGTGATTAAAACAGAGACCCTTCCTTGCAGCCGGGGGACAGATCGTGAGTGACTCCGTATACGCTCGGTGCTGGCTTAGGTAGTCACCTAAGAAGGAACACCAGAGCAGGGACAGGAAGTGGTGTCTGAGTCGGGAGGGGACAAGGGGGTCAGGAGAGGACCTTTCAGGCAGTGACATGTGACCCGAAGTAAGTGAGGAAGCTGGTGCCATGGGACGCAGCAGGGCCCTGGGACTGGGGTGTGTCGGGCCTGTCCAGGAAGCAGCCAGGAGGCCAGAGGGGCGGGAGCAGAGTCCACGAGGGGGCATGAGCTCAGTGGGTACAGGGAGCGCCGTGGCGTCAGGGCCTTGCCTGTTTTTTGGGCGTCACTGGGTCCTGAGTGTGAGCACGGCGCCTGTCCTATGGCAGATGCACATTAGTACTCATGGGATGAATGAATAACAGTAACAGACATTTGCGAGGTGCTCGTTTGTATTAACTCATGTAATCCTCAAGACAGCCACACGAAGTACCGTTGGTGGCCTTGTCTTATCACGACAGGGTCTGGAGTCGAGGAATTGGTCCAGGTCTGCTCGCACAGTCAGGGCCAGAACCGGATCCCGCCCACAGAAGCCGGTTCCAGAACCGCTCCAGACCATCGCACTACCTGGTCTCGTGTAGACCAGATGCTTCTGGCTGCTTTTCCTTATACAAGATCATTCATTCTAGAAAAATTCTGGACCATCTGCTCCGCCAGATTGTGTCGTAGGTGCTAGTGTTACATCTGAGCAAAGCAAACACACACCCCTGCCCACTTGGAGCCTGTGCCCTGGGTGCAGGAGATGATAGTAAACAGTAAATAGAACGTGTTTTATTAGATGGTGACAGATAAACGTGGGTAAGAAAAGCGGGAGGGGTTGTTGGTTTTTGATGGGGTGGTCAGGAGAGCCCCATGACGGTGAGGTGTGAGCAGGACCCGAGGAGGTGGGGAAGCAGGCGGGGTGGGGGGGCGTGGCTCGGGCAGAGTGTGCAGGCAGAACCCCACAGGTGACGGATGTCAGCGGAGGTTCGTGTGTGCTGAAGTCTGTGGCTGTTGGTCTGATTTTTGTAAGAGTTGATGAACTCCTATATCAGTATTTTATGAAATCTTCAGCATGGTAACTTACAAAAAACCTTTAACAGCTCAGCTGTTCTCTGACGCTCTTGCTGGCCCTCACTTTGCGTGACTGACTCTGGAGCGACATCATTCATCCAGAGACCACGCCCGCTCGGACTTCGGTAGCGGGAGGGGAAGTGTGTGTGTGTGTGTGTGTGTGTGTACATCAGTATTTTATGAAATCTTCAGCATGGTAACTTAAAAAAACCTTTAACAGCTCAGCCGTTCTCTGATGCTCTTGCTGGCCCTCACTTTGCGTGACTGACTGGAGCGACATCATTCATCCAGAGACCACGCCTGCTCGGACTTCGTTAGCGGGAGGGGAAAAGTGTGTCTGTGTGTGTGTGTGTGTGTGTACATCCGTGTACAGAGAGACACAGAGGCTTCAGATCATCTCTCTAAAGGTGATTTGTGTGGACCATCTCGTTGCCGGTGGAGAATGGATAAATGCAACATCACAGCTTTGTTACTTATCCGGAGAATTATTTGTTACTTATTCTTTGTTACTTATCTGGAGAATTATTTTTTTATAATACTTTTGCCAGTTAATACTTGTTATAATATAAGTATCAAGCAACATTCCAGAGATAGTTTTATTGATAATATTGGGGAAGATTGAATTTTTCTATTATAATTAAGAGGAGTATTTTTATGTCAAAGGATATTTGGGGATAAACACTGAATAATCTGCATGTTATTTGTAGCAATAACTAAGCTATTAGGCTGGCTTTCTCCACCACATAGTTGTGCAATTTGAACAGTATTTTGTAATCTTGCTTTCTTTACAGAATATAGGTTTTATGGCTTTGGAACACCCTTGTCTGCTTCTTCCAGAATATTGATTCCACGATTTAGCTACTTTAAACATTATGTTTATAGACCTTTATAAGGCTTTCTTTCTCTAGATGGAATTCAAAATTTGGCTTTGAAAGTATTGCTTTGTTTGGCATTACAGTTGACGGTGTTTGTGTGGCCATTAATGACATGCTTATGAGCAAAATAATGCTTTGTCTGCCATGTATTTATTTCAGGTCTTTAAAAATTGCAATTAATATTTTATTAGGTTTTTTATTAACTCAAGTTACAAGGAAAGATTGATTATAATGCACGGAAAAGTAAAATACTTTATCACTGAGATGGCCTTTTCATGTGATGTGTTCGTTTTATTTCATCTCCCTTTGCCAATAGGTGTGCTTTCTCCTTGAGTACCTGTCCTCTTTGTCCAGGCTTTTGCAGTCTTGTTTACTGGTAGAGCCTGACCTTGTGATTCAGAATGAGCTTCTGAAACCTCTTATCAAGAACGTCGTTGGAGTTCTCACCATATGCACCAAAGACCTTATAGGTAAACTTTATTGTTGTAGTTGAGGGTGGAAGTAAATGATGTTGAGGAAGAAAATCTCACTCTGCACCACATCTTCACTTCAGGCTTCCGTTTCAGGTTGTGCTCTTGGCCAGCATTTTGGGATGTTTTATACCATGTTTGATAGTTTGGATGGTGTAAGTGGTTCCAAGAGACCACTTGACCTCAGCACATAGTATAATGAAGGACCATCTCCTGTGCTGTCATCTGAAATGAGGGTAAAAGTTCTTTAGGTAATGTTAGAAGGTACAACGAGTTTTAAGTGTTAATTATTCTTATAAACTATGGCTAAGGCCAGATGACCTACTAATAAATAACTCATTTACAATAACAAGTATAAGCAAGTCTAGCATTTAATATCAGAAATTTCCTAAGGTCTAAAATTATTAAAAAATAAACTGATGAAAAGTAGTAAAACATTAAGACAATGTAGAATCTTTAGCAAAATTAACATATGATTATTGTCTAAAATAGTCTGTAATTAAGTAATTGATCATTAAGTAATTCTCTCTGCCTAGCAGCTCACTCTTATTTATTCCTTGGAATCTGGTGAATTGGCTTGGCTTTAAGTCTGGTGACCTCAGCAAAGCCAGCCCTCAGTGTCTCATTAGAGGGGCGCAGTAACTCCTGACTCGGAAATTTCACAAGCGGCAGTGACGTCCCAGCCAAGCTGATTAGGTTGGAGCACGCGTTTGCTGCGAGGACGGTGTCACCCCACAAGGAACAAAAGTCGATTCTTGGGGGAAAGGGCCGGGGAAATGTCCATGCCATTGCAGTGGTTTGTGGCCCTCCAGCTCTCAGCTCAGTCCTCAGCACTTAGTTTGTCTCGATGGGTTTTCTTGGGTATCCCTCGAAAAGCGTTGACACCGAGCTCATGGGAGGTACAGAAGAAATATGCAAGGTCAGGGCTACGAAACCGGTGGCGTGACAGGAGGACCTGAGCAGTCCCGGGCCCAGAGTCACGGCGAGAGGCGGCCGGCGCGTCCTGGCCGCCCTTGACTATCTCACGGATGTTTTCATTGATTCTGTTGCTTTTGTGTGTGACTTGGGCTTGAGAATTAAATAAAAATAGTATATATTTTATTATTTAATTATATAAAAGTATTTAACCCATCCTTAATTATGTCAACTCCTGAAAAGAAAAGTATCAGTGACATCTGGATGTCTATCTAGTAAGTAGTTAAGTTATTTTCTCATATCTAGTAGAAGTTAAAAGTTCACTAAAATATTTTTTAAGAAATTGAAATTATTTTCTGGAAAAATAAAAGTTTTGAATAGTTTTATAAAAAATTGATTATATTTCTAGTATACATAATCTGCAATTTTTATATGTAATTTTGTTACATTTTAATATTATGAGTGAATTACAGTAAAAGTTATTCAGCAAGCACAATTATAAAATTAAATGTTCATAGCTTTTGAATTTTTCATTTAACTTCCAACTGTTTTATTTTACTTGGCTCTTTTAAGCCTGGATTGAATGAAGTAAGGAAGCTTTATGTTACTTTCTCTGGTGAAGTACAGATATGTGGGTAGCGCATAAACAGATACGCAGTATCTGTGGAATTACTGTTTCATGGGGATGGCGACGAGAAGCCTGCGCCTGAAAACCCTCTTACGGAGCGATGATCACAGCGCGGCTGGGAAACACCGCGGCTTGTCACAGCTCAAACTCCCTGACGGGTTCTCTGTCCAGATGCCCCGCGGGCACTGCGGAAACCAAGACGACAGTGCCCAGAGTGCGCGGTAGCGGAGCTGGACACAGCTGGCAGATGCGGCCGGTGGCGTGGACGGGGGGACAGTCCTCAGGCTGTGACTGCCCCCCAGCTCCCGTCTGCCAGGCGGGAGAGGGGCGAAGCCGCCCTCACTCTGGAAGGTTAATTGCTGCGCCGCCTCTGCAGCGCCACGGTTTTCCTCGTGGGGCAGTACTCTTCCTGGTTCTTCAAAGAAATTCTCGTCTCTTCTGCCGTGACCGTGGCACATTATGTCTTCTGCTTTCATCCTTGCACAAAGCTGCTAGAGGGGATAAAGAAAACAGGAGAAATTTACTTTTATAGAAGTCGCACAGCAGCTCGTTTTTACAGTGTGCCCCATGAGTAGTTCTGAAGTGATGGCTTAATGCTCAGTTTGTCACACTTTATTGTTGAATGTGATTTATAAGGGGAGGGTGCGCGAGTGTATATTTATCTAGAGGAGGGTAGAGGGGAGACTTCTTTAAGAAGCGATGGAAAAGAAATTAATTGAAGTAAATTTGGGGTCATGCTGAATCACATCCGTCTTCATTTGACAAACACCCCGTCCAGTGGTGCTTTAAGTTGAATGAAGTATCTGGTGAGTTTTGTATTTTAGAAGATTCTTTTTTCTTTTTCGTATTAATAGCTTGAAATGTTTTGATTAATTTTATAGATGTGGAGTTAATATCGGCATTTTATCAGACCTGGACACATTTATTTAATCTTCTGGCCGCCCTCCTGAGGAAGGCTGGTGCTGCCTGTCTCCCGTCCATCACGATGGGTCTAGCCAGCCACTGGGCGGCTGTGATCGGTAAGGAGATACTCTCACCAGGCTTGAGGTTCTTCTGCTAATAAAAATTAAGATAATCATTATTTACAATTTTATGTATATATATATGTATGTATTCTCTAAAATTAAGTAATTATGGCGTGACAGATAAAAGAGAAACCAGGTACTTGTTTTGAGATTTTGCAGTGCTTTGAAGAGCCCCAAAAGTTTATTTTTGAAAAATTGAAACTCATTTCAAGATGCCATAAAAACAGGTGAGAAAAGCCTGTAGCATTACGAAGACATATATGACATAATGATAAAACAGTGAGATAGATTTTCATGCATTGGTGTGGAAACCAGCCTCTTTTTTTACATGTATGCACTTACTGTAAGTGGGTAAATCTGCACATATAAAATTCCTTGTGCACAATAACATGGAAAGTTATAATAAAAATAGTGTCTTCTCTCAAGATACAAAGATTTTCTTATAGCACAAAAATGTCGAGTATAGTGTAATTAATTTTATAGAGTGTTTTCCATGTAATAGTTGCCTATTAGAATAAACAAATGATTATTTTTTAAACAAGTGATTATTTTTTGACAAATGACTATTTTTTAAATAACTGTCTTTAATTTTTCATAATTTCTCCTAAATTTTAGCCTAGAGAGACTTTTTTATAGAAGGGTTTATAAATAAAATTTATGTTACCTTTATTAAAATCTAGTTTAAATGTTTTCAAAATTGAGGGTTTTAAATTTCCAAGTTATCACTAATTCAATTGACTTTTATTTTTCCATGTTTTATATATTGAAGCAAGGCACAAGGAACACCTGAGCCAACTGGTCAAACCTGGTCCACTGCCTGTTTCGTTTAGATAGTTTTTCTGGACCATGGTCATACTTAATCCTTTACTTATTGCTCAGGGCTGCTGTCATGCCACAGTGGTGGAGTCGAATAGTTGTGACAAACGCCTATGGCCCACGAAACATAAAATATTAACTCACTGGCCCTTTACAGAAAACGTTTGCTAAGCCTTGATTTAAGCCGTTGACTCTTTTCTTAGTGATGAAATAAAAACATTAAATTCAAAATCTACAAAAGACACACACAGTTTTATATAATAATGGTGCTAATCAATAATAACCTACTACATAAACGGTTAGCTTTGATAATAGTGATGTTAATGAAAACATAACTAATAAAATAGATCATTTATATTTCTTGCCATGGAGTTGTTTTTGGTTTTTTTTGTTTTTCTTATTTTTCATTCCATGTGCCCATATATATGTAAAACTCATGCGGTCACTCTGTAACTTAGATTATCTATAATAATCTTTTCTCAAACTTGACTAACATTTAGACATCATTTAAATGAACGTAGTTCTCATGAAACCTCACTGCTGACTAAATTATTTTTCTTACATTACTTAAAAAACAAAAGAATTTCTGTAACTTAAATCTAGGTAGAAATTGTTACGGTTATAATTCTAACACAGGTATGAATCCCAAATAATATAAAAACAACAAAATTATAAATCAATGCTATCAAATTAATAAAATTATTGTAATGCAGCAAATGTTCTTCTGATTAAATTAAATCAGTGCTCGCGACAGGAAATTAATGTCTGATGCATTGTAGAGTCTTCCGAATCCGTTCGCCCGTTCCTTCCACCCTGCTGTGTTTGCAGATCAGTTCGTAAGCTCTCCTGCTCTCTGTCTGAACTTCGGGAAACCTGTGTTCCTCCATCACTCCAACACTGCACGCCAAGACTTGTTTCAAATACCATTTGGCATCAGCTTGTTTGAAAGCAGAAACACAATCACACGTATAAGGTGGTAACCTAGATAATCCAGAGTGTAGCTATATTAACTTTTTTTAGATTCGCACTGAAATAAAAATTAAAAAGTTAAAAACTCTAGAGACTTTGCGGATCCCAGTAGATCACACACAATTGTCTCAGTTTGGGTCTGAGCAGGTACTGTGTATGTGTAAGCAAGCATGCACATACTCATCCATATAAAAATGACCTCTCAAGAGAACAAAATGGAAATTAAGTAGATTCCTTGATTTAGTATATTGCCTTAGTACTGTGTAAATTACTTTTAAACACTGAGTTACTCTCGCGACATGTGAACTGCGGGTAGCTTCACTTCATTAGAAATCACTCGAATCAGTTTGGTCCACTTGTTTTGAGGACACTTTCAAATGTTCACATATGGACTTATTCTCTCTCCTAGACATGCTCTGCGAATGCGTGGCTTTGTCCACGGCGTGTCCCGTTCTGCACACTGCCAGCCTGCACTTCCTTTCTATTCTCTTGACTGAGGAAGCAAAAAGGGGCCTTCGGGATAAGGATAGGATGAATTTAGGCCACAGTCCCACGATGGCTTCACTTCTGGATAAAACTCAGGAAAATCAGAAATCTCTAGAACGATTTAATGAAGTAATTATTCAGGTATGTGATTTCTTGATATTTTAAAACTTTACTTTCAGTCTTGGCCTTGTAAAAAAATGTTTTTCAATCATTTGAATTAAAAAATAATTGTCATTATGACCATTTAAATAATAGAAGAGTATGTAAAGTTAAATTAACCATCTCCTCTCCAGTCCCACCCTGTTGACCAGAAGAATATGATGTAAAAATTCAAAATGAAATATTAGTAATCTAAGTGCAGCAATTTATCAAAATAATGTGTCATATCATGACCAAATGGTTATATTTCAGGAATATAGATGTAATTCATAATTTATTGCCATTTTAAAGACAGTTACATCCTTGAAAATATCTTCACCTAAGTGACATTTGATTTATATAAATGAAGCACGTATGCTTAAGGCGGTTGTGTACGCAGAGGTAGGCAGACCTGGTTGTCGCATTTGTGAGAAAATGCCCCCTTACCGAGCACGGATGACGGTTTTATCTTTTCGCGTATTTTTTGCAATCTTAAGATATGAACCAAGTTTTTGTTTCATCAAAACACATTCTAGAATCACTGAAATATTACTTCAGAAATTGATTAACAATGAAAAACAGTAGAGGTGTTTTGTTAAGTCGTAGACCTGTTTTCTACAAATAGGAATAGTGCTAGATTTTTCAGTATTCAAAATTCTCCTTTTCAGTAACTGTTTGGCATCACGATTTCTGTCGTCTCACGGAAAGGGGCGAAGTGGAAGCCTTGCCCACCGGAGGATTTGCTTCCACTTCCCCGTCGGCAGCCACGTTGTACCGCGTTCTCGCTGTCTGCCGACTTGTCCTGGTCCCCGGGCTACTTGGGGTCGGGGAGTTTTGGCCTTTTCTGCCTCTGAGAATCATGGCTGTGCGGAGTGTTGTGGCATGACTCCTTGTGTGTTTTGCACAGCAGCCTTGATCATACTGGAATGCAGACGAGGCCGGTCGAGGCGAGGACAGGTCCCCTGTCCGCTCGAGCCCACCCAAGGACGCCGTCACGGCGCTCCTTGGAGCTTCGTCTACCCTGTCCGACAGACTGCGATTGGCTTCGAAGCACTGGAAAGGGGGCTCATAAGGGCCACCCAGCATTTTCTCCTCCGTCTCCAGCAGTTCTTTCAGATACTGGATCTCTAGAGGAAAAAAGTCCCAATGGCATTTCTCGAAGTCACTTCTTGGGAGGCCACACAGCCTCCCTGCAGCTACTGTGCACTCATTCACTCAGCTATTCGTGCTTGAGGGCCCAGCCTGGACACTGTCCCGCTGTCTCGTTACCCATCAGAACACCAGGCTCTTTTCTCCAATGATGAGCTGAGTCCTCTTTTGCTCTTTAAAGACTATTATAAGCCAAAAGCTCAAATTCACACCTTTACAGAAGTCCTCCCCCAGCCCTGATCCAAAAGCATCCTTAACCTCCTACCTGTGGCTCTGGTGGGACATTTTTCTCCTGGGGAAGAGCCTTTGCTCTCGTCTACATCTTTCCTCCTCTAGGGTGTCAGTGGGTCATTCCCTCGGCCAGGGGTATGGCCCGGCCCCCTGCCCCGCTGCCCAGAATGCCCGCATGCTCTGGGGTCCTCGACCACAGCCATGACCTTGGTTCCCGCCGCTGCAGTCAGCCCTCGGGGCCCCCGTGAAACTGGAAGACCTGTAGGCGGGCCAGGCCAAGGCCAAGGCCATTTTATCTTGCTTGTTAGCGGCACTGTGTTTCGAGAATCCAGTTAGGCTTGTGATGAGTATGGGTCCATGTAGGGATGATGGACCGGATCAAAGTCGCATGCGCGGGAGAGACGCCATGCCAAAGGAATGTGCTAACTGTGCCTTGCCCTGGCTTTCCCCTAATATTTTATAATATTATTTATTACAAAAGTTAGTGTCTGTAATCTTTCTGTTACCTTCTTGGCCAAGGAAAATGAGCCACAGGATATCTCAACGATTTTCCTAATGACTAGCTAATTTTCCTCTCCATTTATTCCAAATTACAAACGATACAAAGTGTTCTGTGTGAATATGGCTACATTAGCCAATTATTTTAACTGTGTTTTCTAATAAATCATACTCGGTCATGTAAACACTAGACTATGAACATGTAATGTTTGTTAGAAGGGCACAGGCAAGTTTAAGACAGAGAAAGTTCAGGAAGGAATTATACCTATGACACACTTCCGAGAAAATGGATGCCTACCGTAAATGGGATATTTATTCATGAGCTTCTTACACTACCAGCACTGTTTTTTTTTGCCATGCCCTATATGCAAATTAAAACATTAGAATGCGTTAAACATCGACACATAATGTCGATGATATGCAAATTAAAACATTATTAGAATGCGTTAAACATCGACACATAATAAGTAATATGTTTCTTAACATGCGTCCACGTAGGCTACGTATTGTGCCGGCTGTTGTTCGAAGCAGAATAAACTATAGTCTTTAAATTAGCAGAAGAAATGGTATTCTAAAATTGATGCCTTTCCAAGGTGTATTTAAATTCTCTGTAAAATGTACCGAAAAAATGTTAGACATGCGACCTTAGACATATCACTTAACCTCTTCTGATTCAGTTCTTCACATGCAGAATGAGAGGACTGTTACATTATTGCTGCATTTCAGACGTCTCCAAAATTCTCCATCTTCCTTATAAATTATAACACTGTAACTTCTCGTAAAATGTCTCGGCTGAGAATCTTTTAAATGGCTGCTTTACAGCAGTATCCTATAGGGAACACATGTTGACAGTTTGCTTTTGATACTTATATCTTAAATAATGTGTAATTTTATTTTCCCATAACTCCATTTTCAGGTGGTTTCAGGGTTTGAATATTCTCTAAGAAACTATTAGCTGTGTTTTTACCATAAAATATTGAACACATTTGACTTAATGGAGATTTTGTCTTCCTAGTGAGATACTCAGTGTTTTATTTGCAAATACATAGAGGTAAGAAGACTAATAAATGCCCTCTCACAATAAGTTTTGTCTGTAATCGAGATGTGGATTATTTTTACTCCTTATATTTGATCTAATATCTAAAAAATAAGGATCATAATGCAAGGAAACAACAAACTCTTACATCACATTTTAGGAGGTATGTTTTGCATTAGTGTTTAGTGAGTCATAAAATTCGAGTAATTCTGTTGGAGACCAGGCTTATGTATTAGAGATGCTGCTGTGAGGTTTACTGTAATTAAAAAGCCTCTTCTTTACGCTAGTCAGTACCCTTTGGAAAGAGAGCAAAAAGTCTCGGCCTAGAATTCCAAGATCACTTAGTGTACGGAAGGAGGTAGATCTAAAAAGAGCATAACATTTAAATAACATTACCTTGAGCCCTCTTATTTTCTTTCTACCTGTGGTTGACGCGAAAACATTTCTCGCCCTGTACCCTGTTGCTTTGTTTCCTGTGTGTCTGCGACCTCCAGTGGCTAGATATGGTGGTCTCGGCTCCTGGACCCTGGACCTTAGCCTCGGCCTCCCGCCTCCAGGCTCCTCCCGCTGAGTGCTGCCCTGTTCTGATGCTGTGAACTGCTTTTCAGTCTGTAGTACGTGCTGCCTGGACCGTATCAATTGTTGTTATTATTATTATTATTATTATTTTAATACCTACAGCACCCGGTCTTCCTAGGTGGTCTCCCATCCAAGTACCTACCAGGCCTGCCCCTGCTTAGCTCCGAGGTCAGACGGGATCGGGCGTGTTCAGGGTGGCAGGGCCGTAGGGACCGTAGCAATTACTGTTCTCTGACCTTCAGGACATGTTGAAAAGTGTGTGGTTTTACCATAGGTTATCCTCTTTCTCGTTTGTGTTTAGTTAGAGGCTTTTGTATCAGTTTTACCCTTTTTACTTTTGAGAATGCCACACAATTTTATACGTTTTCATACCCAAAGTAGGTTACTTCTGCCTTCCACCCTCGTTTCCCCCTTCTCAGAGGCAACTGCTTACACGTCTTTTAGCTTGTTATTTTCCAGGTTCGCTCCTTTGTCTCTAAGTAACGTGCTCGTGTTTCCCTAGCTTGGTTATTCGGGTTTGGACATGATCTGTTGGTTTCCTGCTGTGGAAAATGAGACTGTAACCCTCTTTCCACCCCACCCACCTGCCCATGTGCCCTCCGTGTCTCCTGTGTCACGTGTCTTCACGTCGACTGCAGACCGTGCAGCGTGCAGTGCTGAGTCCTGAGAACACGCACGACCGGACCACTGGCAGCGCTTAGTTTCTTCGCTGCACAGCTCTCTCTTTCCTTGGAGGGACTTGTGTTATTTTTCAATTTGCTGAGTGTTCTGTTATCACTGATAAGGTCCATGTTCTTCGCCAGCAGTATATTCAGGAACGTCAGAACTTATTCAGCTTCGTCTTTCAAAAGAAATCACTGCCGATTCCTTGTGACCTCCTTGGTGCCCTGTCACCCGGGGTCTCTGTTCACCGTCCTCCCAGGAACCCCTTCACCTGTCTGCTGCTTCCTGCGGTCGCCTGTGGCCCGTGTCCTCCTTGCTGGGCTCACGCCCTCCTTGTGGTAAAGTCTGCCCTGCAGCAGGCCCCAGAGGAAGGGTGCGGAGGAGGCTTTGTTTGAGATTAGACTGAATGTCTTTGTCTGCCCCTACGTTACATTTATCGTTGGGCCAAGTGAGAACTCTAGGCTGGAGAGATTATTCACGTCAGAGTTTCGAAGGTGTCGTCTGTCCCCCTGAACTTCTCTTGTTACTGAAGCGGGTTCGGAAGCCACTGTGATCCCTGGTTTCTGTGTCCTGGATGTTTTCAGAATCTTCTTTTGTCTCTGGTGTTCTGCGCTTCCCTGATGCTCTACGCCGATGCGGGTCTCAACCCCCTCGTGCTGGGCTCCCTTGGGGGTTCCCCCCACCTGCAGGCGCCCGTCTTTAATTCCTTCCCCGGCATCCCCTCCACTCTGCTCTGTGTACTCAGAACTCCTCTTCAGGTTCTTCTTCCTAGAGAAGCTCTCTTTGCTTCTTTTTCTCTGTTTCTGTTTTTGTTTTTGTTTTGTGGTTGGGGACTTTTCTCCGGTTCTGGTAACTTTGGTTGTCTGCTGTGTTTAAAACTGGGAGACTTAAAGCAGGTCGGAAGTCTCGAGCGTCTGAGTGGAGCTTGTCACCTGCAAGCTGTACTGTGTGAGGGCACTTGACTGGATCATTTTGTCACCCGGTCTTCTTGAGCTTGTCACAACCCCTAGAGGATTTTCCGACCTCCTGACTGGAGGTAAAAACCCACCTGCCAGGTGTTTCGCATGTGTGGGAGTAGAGAGCTGGGGTTTTAGGATTTAATTTGCACAATTTCACTTAATCCTTCCTGTTTTGGGTAGAAATCCCTCACCCACAAGCGAGCCTCTTCTCTGCCCGTTTAAAGTCCTTCTCATTCATCCTCGGTGGAGACCAGATGTCCAGTTTTTTCAAGGGTTGGAGAGGAAGAGGGGTTTGGTGGGCAGCGGGCGGAATCTGGTCCTAACTGCATCTCCGAGATCTTTCTAACAGTCCCCTCCAGGCTCACCTGCGGGGCGCCGGGTCCGAATTCCTCGGCCTTTGCAGTTTAGTCCAGAGACGGGGGTGGTGGTCAGCGTCCCTCCTCACCGCCCGGAATTCAGGATTCTCAAGCCTGCCGGCGTTTCTGCTGTCCATTTGTTTGCTTTCTGGTTTCCCACCTTGGGGGTTACGTGTGTGTGTAGGGGGGCTGCGTTCTGTTTCTGTCACTTTCATGAGCTTTCACCAGGGCATAAAAGACACATCTGTGAGCACAACTGGTTCCTAGAAGTCTTACCTCTTTCCCCTCCCCATCGCTGCAGGTAGTAGATGAGTAGTATTCGACGAGATCAGTTTGGTTTTCCTCAAATCACTAATACATTCAAGTTCAATAAGTGTGTGTATACGAGAGTGAGTTTCCTGTTAAAGGTAAAGGTTAAGTTTAGACAAATTAGGATTCTCGTGGTTCACTGTAATGATTACACTCCAAATATATTCCTCATCCTACAGCACTCCCCTGCCTGCCCCCGTCACAGTCACCCTCGGCACGACCATTCCCAAGCACCCCTGGGCCCGGCATTTAACATCTGCCCCATTGGCCAGAGGTGCCCCCAGTGGGAGGGGTGAGGGCCCCCACTCTGCAGGCTTCTCCAGTGTCACAGTGCCAGGGGAAGTGGAATTGCATCGATGTAAAATTATATCATTTAAGCTTAATTTTAATCATGATATTAAAAAAGTTGGATCATTTTGAAATTTACTGGTAGAAGAAATTATGAAATATGAATTCTGAAGTCTAGGAACTTTTAGATTCTGAAACTGGAATTTATGAATCTCTTGACATAATAATAAAAATGTACGCGTATATCCACATGACACTCTTTACCACAAAATATTTCACCTGAATTTCATCAAGCATTTAGAGCTAAAACACCCAGTAGATGCGAAATGCAGGAGAGAAGACAAGTGGTAATCAGCACAGGAGACAGGTAAGTGCAGACTAGGGGGCTTCTGTGGGACGACTCATCTGGTGTATTCAGCACCTCGACAGCGTGAGGTGACAGCTGTGCCTGGAACACGCCGGTGGTGGCCGGGGGGCGGGGGCGGCGGGCACGCTCGGTTTAGGGGGCAGCAGCGGATGGGATGTGAGGGCTTCGCCGAGTCCTGGTTCCACTGAAGCAACTGAGAGAACAGTTTTGAGACACAAGAGAAAATCTGAACTTGGACTGGATAGTAGTTGATATCAAGAAATTATTGTTAATTATGTTAAGCGTGATAATGGCTTTATGATTATGTGTACTGAAGTCTGCCACTTGATGGTTTCTCGTATTTAATTTAAAATACTTCAGCCAAAATTTTTAAAGGAAAGAGTATGGGCTTTGGTATTCTGTTTACTCTTGTACATATTTGGAATTTTTTATGATGAAAAAATTTTAAACTCATAAATTCAAATATGTAAAGGAAATATATCAAAATATTAGTATTTTCAAAATTACAACTGAAAATCATCAAGAAATAATATTTTTTTGAAAAACGTGTCATATGACAGGACAGCATTACTATAGGAATGAAAGATGGGATGCCCCAAAGCGCCTGAGGTGCAGGGATGAGGGGTTACTGGGTGGACACGGAGCGGGGGATGCGTCTCCGGAAGAAAGGAGGGATTCGAGGACAGTTTTTCAAGGGCCCTATTAAGTAAGTAACGTCTACGTTCACACATTCCCTGAAGAATTTGAGTAAGTGCGTGTACTTACCATGTGTTACACTCAATGGAGCTTTTTCTTCAGACGATGAGTTTTTGAGAATGATTGTTGGTCCTTTCCACATTATAAATTTCTTATTATCCACACAACATGCTTGCATCTTAACGATTTATCAAATTCCAGCGAATTTCACGGAATAGTCGGAGCCTTACAAACCCTTTTAGGTAGTGCGCATCTCTAATTCCCAGCAGTTTTCCCCAGACCAAGGTTTGCTTCAAGGCAGTTCGATGTGCATCCTTTGCAGTGCTACGAAGGGAAGCCCCCCAGAGACGCTCTGAAGAGGGTCGCTGCCAACGCACTGCTGTCTCTCCTGGCCGTCAGCAGAGCCGCGCAGAGGCACGCTCTGAAAGGTGAGCCTCAGACGCAGCCGGTGTCTTCACGGCAGAGTTTCAGCTCGTCTGTTTCACCGCTTATTCATTTTAATTCTTCTTGGATTCAAAATGTAAAAAACTTACACTCCCAGGGGCGCTAAAAATAGTTAAACATGCATTGCTTTCAAAATAAAAAATCGTTCATGTAGATTGTTTTTGCGCAGTGATTCCTGCTCTTAGAGAATATCTAAATATTATAGAGGCTTAAAAAACCCATCACTCAATTTCACAATCATTAAGTATTAGTAACCACACGTTGCATAGCTGGAAAAAAGAGCATAGTTTTGATAGTAACAGCAATGCACTGAATTATCCTGTATTTATGTATGCATATTCATATGCGTGTGTATTTCACATGTGTGCTCTTATAATTTTATGCGAGACCCCCCCGTAGAGCGTTGTGATTTCTCATCTGCAGTTTCTCATCAGGGTGCAGCAGGTCTTAGAGCTGAAGGAGTAATAGCAATGCCAAGTCCGTTCACTGCAGCTGTAATTTGCTACTGAAACAAGTTACACTTTCTTCAAAATGTAGTTCAGGTCTGAGAGTATTGCACTCAGTTGAAAGCCAGCAGGCTTTAGCATTTTAATTCTCTTACCGTTTTCTCCCTCTGATTCATTAGTCTCTCACTGAAAACACTGAAACGGAGTTGGTCAGAAATGTAGTTTGTTGCGTTTTTGAGAGTTTGATGGGGATATGTGTTTTCAGCTTACTCGGAAGTGGAATATCCTTTGATTGTTTGGGATTTGGTCTTGCAGCCGATCTGATAGACAGCTGCGTGGAGCAGATGAAGCACGTCGACGCGCAGCTGAGCCTCGCCTCTCTGCGGCCTGGGAAGGCCGCGCTGAAGAAGAAGGTAACGGGGTCCGGGAGTGTGGGGCACAGGCGCGGCCAGGCGCGGAAACCCCTCTCCAGCCCTTATGCTGATGAACGACACCGATATGTGGTAGAAATGCCTGGTTTAGAAGAAAAGCACAGTTAGGTAAATTAATGGGATTTCTACATTAGCAGGCTTGGGCTTGGGTGTCCTAGTTCTCACTTGAAGATCTTTAAATGAAATTTATATGTTGTGTGTTTGTCGTGGTAAACAGTTCGGAGTGTGCGTGGTGAATGCTGTATACTTCCAGAAGAAAATCTCTCAAAGTAGGCGTAGGTGCACCGGGAATGAGGCGTCTCGTGCACGCCTGTGGGAACGCAGTCCTTTAACTCGCTATCGATAAAGCCGGTGTTTGCCCCAGATCGGGGGGGCGGGCAGAGCTGCTATTCCTAATCTCCGATTGTGTCCTTCCGTGACGTCTAAACCTCTCTTTCTGCTGTCGAGTCTGCCGGACTCATGTTCAAACGGCATGTAAACGCTAAATAGCATACATTTTATGTAAAGCGGTGGTGATTAATAACCACTGTGGTTCCAAATCCGCCACGTGGGCTTCATGAGAAAACGAAGCGTGTGCGTGTTTCTCCGTGTTCAGCTAAGGCCATCACAGCGGTGATTTATGTAATAACTAGTTTCTGCTGCATTTGATTAGAAACCAAGAAAAAGCCATATTTAATAATTCCATTACGTGCTTTTCAGTGTCTTGCCTCTTTTCCTCTCTAGGCAGAGGCCCTTTATTTCATCATTGAGAAAGTCAGCCAACACCTGATATGATCGAAAGCCAGTCAGTCCCTGCTTCACGTTATTGAGATGAAACATGGAGCTTATTACATACCTCGGTTCCTCCGCGCTTGATAGAACAGAAATAGCTTTTCCGTGGTGGATGCACTTCCTGAGCTGCGGCCATCTTTCAGAGATGGTTAGCTTGTCAGTCCCCTCAGAGTTATGGTGTCAGGCGCGGGGAGGGCATGGCTGCCCTGTAATATGACCCAAAAGAAAGAATTGCTGTGTCTAAAACGTGGAATACGCTGTCGTGGTCACATTCTTCAACTGCTTTCTGTTTAAACAGGAGGATGGTTTTATTAAAGAGTTAAGCATTGCCATGCAGCTCCTGAGAAACTGCCTTTATCAAAACGAAGAATGCAAAGTAAGTAGAGCTCCGTCTCAGAATTTTCGTGTCAGTGCCGAACAGGTTAATTCAGGATAATTCCTATATCATCCGGAGATAAGATAGGAGGGAACATGGAAAACTCCGAGTGATTTCAGATGCGCGGTTGATCATCCGTCACACTCAGCGCTAACCCTCGGAATCAGCACACGCACCCGCTCCTCCCCCACGCTCACGACAGCTTCGTTCGTACCGGCGTCTTAGCTCGATCGCCTGAACTTGGGCTTGGGGCAGCTCGCGCAGACCCGAGCCTCTGCCTGCACCGTTGTGCGTTTGGCGCTGTTCTCACAGAGAGGGAGCGTGAGCGGCTGCGTACGTCTCCTGAGGCAGCGTGTTTTCAGGGGCCGTTGTCAGCTCTCCAGGGGAATAAGTGGAGGCGTCTGTGTCCGTGAGGAGCGAAGACGGTGCGCTTCCTGCTCCCGAGTAGAAAGTGCCTCCCGCCCTTCAGAGCGGGGGGCGGGGGGCGGGGGGCACCCCAGGGCGCCGCTTCACCTGCAGCTCCCGGCTCCTCCGTCGGGGAACCGCTGCGGTGCTCTGTCTGAGCACTGATGCCGCCTTAGCTTAGAGACCGCGTGGCGCGGTCAGCCGGGATAATGTCTTGAGCTCTTCGGCTGCTTCATCATCGTGACATAACTCTCTCGAAGCACTGACTTTCACACAGGCAGTGCGCAAAATGAGGAGGACAAAGAGACGGTAGACGCTTCCTTTAAAAAACATTACTCTCTTTGCTTTTACTTGCGATAAAACTGGAAAAACACCGTATCTCGAACACATACATTTATATTTCAGGACATTTCGACGGGAATTAAGTGTTCATACGTTTCATAAAATACCCCATGCGTGAGCTTTTTACCTCTGATAGAGGCATCGTTTACTAAATTTATGACCCTTTATGCTAAATAGTACCCTCGTGACTCGGCGCGGTCTGTATTCTTCCCTGACGCCTTCCTCGGGGAACGCTCTGGAACGCTTTCTAGGTAGGGTCTGCTCACATGGATCTATGAGAGGCCGGAGCTTGGGTTTTGGTTATAAATGTTCGAACACATTAGCTGTCTGTGAACGTGTACTCTCTCAGGAACTCAAAGCGTTTCTACATTTCCAAGTTGGCGATAAGGAGCAAAGCGAAAGAAGAATATTTGGTTATTTGGGTATAAATATAGTCCTGGGGGCAAAGGGTCTTAGTTCCTTTGTCTGCTCCGACCTACCTGAGGTTCCTGACACATTCCCATTACTACTGGCTGGTCACTCCCGTGGGGATTCACCGAGTCTCCCGGCCACACCACCCAGCCTCTGTCTTTGTGTGACATTAATGCGTTTTCACACTGGGAAGACCGCGGCGGCTGCGGGGTAGACGATTGAACAGCAGGCGAGGTTAGAGGTGGGGATTGTCCGGGCAAGAGATGGCGAGGCCCAGGCCGGGCAGATGGAAAGGGAAGCGGGGTGCGGGGGAGTAAATCCGAGACGGGGAGAGGAGGAGAAATGGAGAGTGACGTCCTGACCCTGGTCGAATGCAGGAGTGCGTGCTGGAGCGCGTGCTGGAGCGGGGCGTGACGTGAGGGAGCCTGATGCTCGGGCTCGCTCAAGTCAGCGGAAAGTGCCTTCGGGCCATCCCGGTGGAACATGCTGGCAGTCTGTCAGTGACATGGATCTGGGGCTCTGAGTGGTGAAACGGGCTGGGGACGTTAGGAGGTACCCGTGACAGCGGGTGTTCGTAGCTGAGACAGTTGTTGGAACTTCCAAGAGCCTATGCACTGGGCAATGTTCGTGGAAAGTATGACTGTTTAAGAGAAGGCATCAGGCATCTGAGAAGGGAATGTGGAGAGAGCTTGCAGATGGTCCAGGGGGCAGGGGCTCCATGGAAGTGAATGAAAGACCTTTTACAGATGCTGGACCCCTGAGGGTTTGGTAACAGGGACAGGAGAGGTCTCGCTAGCGTCAGAGTAAACTGCAGTAAGCTGAAGACTAAGAGATGGGAAGGCACGGCAGTAAGAGTGTTCTTCCCAGAAGCCTAGTCAGGAGGAGCAGCGTTAATACTTAGGACACAGCACGGGAGGCAGTTCGACTGCGCGTGTGTTTGTAAACTGAACGTAAACAGAACTGAGCACACTGGGGACTAGTTATTAAAGGGACATGGATGGATGAGGATCCCTAAGGAGGCAAGTGGGCCGCGTTCCAGAACACAGGTGGGCGTGCCCGCCTCCAGGAGGAGAGGGGTGTTCTCCGTATTCGGGGTTTGGTTTTAGTTGCGTATCCTCCCGCGTCGGGACTAACGTCGTCCTTTTTCCACCACAGGAAGCAGCTCTGGAGGCGCATCTCGTCCCTGTCCTGCACTCTCTCTGGCCTTGGCTTTTGATGGATGATTCATTGATGCAGAATGCCCTGCAGCTGCTCTGTGTCTACACCGCAAATTTTCCAAACGGTAAATAGACCCAGTACTGTTTTTCAGCAATGCAGCATACTGAAATGCTAATTTTATATAATGCAGTTAGTGTGGACTGGAAAAACAGCCAGGTGGTTAGAAGTGTTGCTCCTCATCCAGGGCACGCTGGTTAAAGGCGTCTCGTAGGTGCTGTAGGAGCAGAGGGATGTGTTAGTGTTTGCTGAGATGAGAAGAATCGTCACACGGCTCCGGGAATAGAGAGGGAGAAACCGGCCTGATCCCCTCAGCGGGAGATGGAATTGGATAGGAAACTGAGACACTGGAAACGAAGATGCGAGGCCTCAGAAACCAGGGCCAGGTCAGGGCCTTCGCGGACCCTGGAGCAGGAGGCTGGCGTGGTGAAAGGCGGTCTGCTTGCCGTCGGTCCGTGAAAGCGGACGTCACCGCGGTGCCCCTCTCCTGCCTGCCTTTCAGTCATTTCATTGAGAGCCTGCTGTGGGCCATGCGCGTTTAGAGGCCAGCAGCTAAGAGCGAGCACAAGCAAGGGCAGAGGTGGCCGAGAAGAGGGGAGGCGGGGAGACGTGGCTGTTTGAGTCGGGGGGAGCATGTCCGCGAGGAGGTGAAGGGTTGCCGGCAGTCTTAATTTCCCATTTAAAACTTAGGGTCAGACACATTTCCTGCTTTAAAAACAGTCACGGAGATGTAAAGTACAGCGTAGGGAATACAGTCAGTAACACTGTAATAAACACGTGTCGCGCCAGGGGGCACTAGACTCAGCAGATCACTCGGAGTTGTGCGCGTGCCTAACCACTGTGCCGCACACCTGAAACGGATGATGCTGTATGTCAACTGTCATTGAAAAATAAAAGGATCGAAGTAAAACGTAGGTCATGCACGTAAGGTTAACTGGTCAGCAGGTCTGTGTGCTTCTAGCAACAGCCAGCAGCTCAGCCCCGGGTTCTCCAAATACCAAAACACGCACAGAGAAAGGGCTGGAACTCAAAACAGTTCAGAGCCCACGTAGTCCCGCCGCGAGCTGAGAAAGCTTATTCCTTGATCGCCTCCCACCAGCCCCGGCCTCCAGTCCGGAGCTGTCCACCTCTGTAGCCCACTCGGCCTGTCTCTGGCAGCACAAACTGACACAGACAGACTTGAGGCCCTCGACTCCCGAGCTTCGCTGTGGTGTTTGGAGTACGGCGCAGGACAGGACTGTCGTTTCTGTCCTTACCTCTGCTCGGGCGGTCTCCTCTCCTTGCATCTAGCTGGCCACCCGTCACAGGGAGGCCAGCCGGCACAGCTGTCTCTGCAGGGTTGCATCTGACCATTGCCCCACTCTGCCCTCCCCCTCATGCCTTAGTTTAGGGCTTCGGGAAGTGAGGAGGGAACAAAGGATCAGTTGCTAAATGTTGAGTCAAAGAAATTTTTACTTTAATATAAATCTTTTGAAACTGTTTGTTACTTTTATACTTAAAAATTGATGCAACTATTAGAATGTGATCTAAATTGAGGAAGAAACTTTCTATTTTCCTGTATGGTTTGTTCGCAAGCAAAATTACATCATTAGTGACAGGTGTATGTAACAGTTCATGGAAACACTGGTGTTTGGTTACTGCTGTGCAGTGTGAACGCAAGAAAGATCACTGTTTCTTCATGTTCACTTGCCTTTTATGAGTTTGCCTTACAGGACTCATTTGATTCTGATCTAGTTATGCGTCACCTGGCCTCCTTGCATGGACGTCCACAAGTTAATCATACCTTTATGTTATAGTACAGTAACCGTATTTCTGACTCTTTTGGTTATCTTTCTCCCTTGGTAAATCCCATGTGGTTGTTTAATTTACTGAGAATACACTAGACTCTGGAAAACAAGTCGATGTCATGCTGGCCCTCGCAGTGAGCTGTGTGACCTCGGGCAAGTCACTGACTTCTCTGAGCTCTCTACCTTCATCTAGCGTATGTGGCTATAGCATTTGTTCCGTCCCCAACCCCAGAATCATTGGGTTTCTTGTTTTATTTTCTTCTGTAAAATGAGGGCATTAGACCCAGTTACCTCCCATTTCTAAAATCCTGTTCTATACAAGCCTTTAATTACATGCCTTCTTTAGGAACTACTACAAAACCCATTATGCTTATTTTATGCTTTCAAAAAAAATATAAACCTTATGTTTTTAAATGCTCTATTGCAGTCATTAGGCCCTTAATGAGGACTGTAAATCCATCAGGTTGAATGTGTACATCGACACTAACTTTCTGTGCTGATTTGCAGTTCACAGGTTAATGGCCAAGTCATTCGATAGATAGTTACGCAGTACCACTTAGGTTTTGTTTAGTTTTGTTTTTAACTAAACAGCAACACTGAGAAGACATTGTGACGGGCTGTTATTTTTTCAGGTTGCAGTTCTCTTTGTTGGTCAAATTCTGGACAATACCCTGTTCAAGCTTCGGGCAGAGGAGCCGCGGGCAGCTCTTTGATGCTGTGTGTCCTGCGGTTGGCTTCCCAGGTGCCTCTCGAGAGCACGGCAGTCCAGCAGATGGCTTTTATGTTTCTTTCAAACCTGGCCTTGTCTCATGACTGTAGAGGAGTCATTCAAAAAGTAAGTACTTAAACTCTCCTTCGTATCATAAAAAAAGATAAAAAAATCATCCTTTTCATCAAGGGCGTGCGAAAGTCTAGAACTCAATTTCTAGGATTAATTTATTATACTTTCAAGACATTTTGTTTTAAAAGATTGTAGGAGGATTAAGAGGTTCACTTTGTTTAAAGCCACTTGATAGATGATACATGAAAAGTGACAGCTCGAATACGATCAAACCATTTTCTTTTAGTTATCTTCTTAGCTATGGATTATATTTCATCCTCAGAAATGAACGTTTTAGAAAGACAGCTGTCTTACATTTGTTTGAGATCATAAAAGTAATACAGTGGTCTTTAAACAAGACCACATTGAGCGGTAACAATTTCAGTTCAATTCACATTGTCAGAATGGTTCATGAAGTCACAGCCCCTTTTTCTCCGAGTTAGACCCAACTTCGTTATGACATAATGGGTGATTTTATCAGTCCCCTGGGACTGCAGCGCCCAAACTTGACTTCTCATCACGGGTTTTAACTTAGGGTGCTTTAAAAGGGATTGAATGGTTGAAACAAATTCCAGTGCAGCTGTTCATTTAGGCGCTGTTCAGGTGTCACAGAATCCCTAATTTGGAAGGCCCTGTGAACTCCGAGTGTGATTAGCTTGCATTACTGGTTTCTGGTAATTTGAGTACTGCTCTTTCTTTTACATGAAGGCCAAGATAAACAGCACTCATAAGAATTGAGGCTCCTTTCCTCTGCTGCATCACCGCCCCCCCCAAACAAAACAAAACAAAACAAAAATAAAACTCGGAGTGCAAACTCCAGATAAATAGCAGCCTTACGAAGGGAAGATCTTTTCCGTGCTCTGTTGGTGCTAAATCATGTTGGCTCGGGAGTGGGGTGGTTTATTTTCAGGAATTTTGCAGGCCACTCGATGGCATGGTGGTGTCTTGAAGTCAGCTGTAGTGGAGGTATTCACCCCGTGTAAATCAGCAGAACGTGCAAATCAGACACCTGCTGCTCACTGGAGCCCACTGCTGGCTTACCAGCACGCGCTAGATGTTTTCCTCATACGTGTGCGTGCGCACACGCGTGTGCGAGGTCGTCCTGAGCTGGCTATACGGGATCACCGCCCTCCATGAGCATGAGGCTGGGCGGGCTGCCTGCCACTTCCTTGCGAAGAACCTCGGTAGGGAGCGAAGGCCCACACGCCACGTTGGTGCTACGCGTGGGTGTCGTGTGACTTTGAGCTGGACACTCACTCTCTAAGCTTCGGTTTCTTCATTTTCGAAATGATTAGGTTACACAGAGCGGTCTCGAAGGCGTCCTCATCTCATTCTCGGCTCTGGTCCTGTGGGAGGCATACTTCAGCATAAGTGAGACTGGTTCACGTGCGGATCAGTAGTCGTGTTTTCTCGGCTCCGACTAGGGAACTTGCGCGTCCTCTGCCGAAGGTGTGATGGGTGCTGGACACGCGCAGCTAGGCCTCTGTCGCTCATCCACGGGCATTAGAACGCGGGCGCCCGTGCTGCCAGGATTCCCGGTGCCCAGCTTCTCTCCTCCAGGGCGCGTGTCTCTACGTCCTCCCTGGCGTAGGAAGTGGTTTAAAAGCGTCTCTGGGCCCAGCAGAAGGCAGCAGCGCCCATGGCATGTTTACAGTTTGAAGCACTGTCGTGTTTTATCACGGTCGTCAGCCCCAGACCGCCAGCATCCTGGCATGTCTGACTGAAGGGGAAGGCGAGGGAGGGATTGTTCGGGCGACGGAGGAGCGGTGGGCTGAGTGGGCTGAGTGGGCTGAGTGACGGCCAACTTGCCGTTGCTGACGTTGCTGCCATTTCTGTAGCGCAGCTCATCGTGCACTTAGAGGCAGTCCTTTTACGTAGAGAGTTTCATTCGTTTCATAGATTCAGGCCATCATCTGGATTTAGGTGCGGGAGAATCCAAGAAATAAGCAGAGTAGGTAATTAAACCGGGAGAGAGATGAGACCCTCTGGGGGTCGGGAGAGCTGATCACATGTGCCCGCCTGGCCGTGGCCCAGGCTGTCCTCAATGGCGGCGGCTGCGGCCGCTTTGTTTATTTCTGGGCTGCTTCTTGACAGAGCACTTTCAGACTCTTTCTTCTTTTGCATGTAGATTATTCTACACAATAAATTACTGCTTTTCCCATCATCAAGAGTTTGGTGGGGCTTTGTGGAAGGGATTTTCTTTGGAGGTTGAAACGACTTACAGTTCAAGTGATGCAGCTCCCTCACCTGTAAGGTCGCTGGAGTGCCATGTAGCCTTGAGAAGTCATTGATAATGATCCGCGGCTGGGGTAAGTCGAGTGTAAGATATGCCCACAGATCACCTGTGTGGCTAAAAGATGCCGATATCCTCAGCACTGCCCGAGATGTTAACTGGTTGGTGTCCATGATTTGTTTGGTTTTGGTTTCTTTTTAAATTTTTAAAATTTTAATTTTTTTATGTGTGTGTATATATATATAAACTAAAATGTACTTGACACACATCATCATATTAGTTTCAGGGGTATGACACAGTGATTTAACATATGTATCTGTGTGTATGTACACATACATACACACACACTGTGATGTGATCACGATCTGTCACCATGCATAGTCATTACGATATCATAGGCCATTTCTCTGTGCTGCAACACACCCTGTGGCTTATTTATTTCATAACTGGAAGCTTGTGCCTGTCATTCCCCTTCACCTTGTCACCCGTTCCCCACTGCCTCCCCTCCGGGAACCATCAGTGGGTTTTGCTGCTTTTTCCTCCCCATAGGATAGCTTTTAATGAGTAGCAAAATTGCCAGAGGGCAGACAGGAAGAGAAAACTCAGGAGGCCTGACTTAATCCCTAAACTGAATTATCGGTCCTAAGTAATTAAGAGTTGTCTGTAATTTATCCACCATCCGAAAAGAATTAGGAAGAATTAAAACTTGAGCACTATTTTGGTCTCCTTAACTTTTCTACTTGTACTTGGAAACAGTAGAGGTGGAGTTTTTGGAAGGTACTGGAGGAAGGAGAAATTCAAATTGCAGAAAAGAGGAGCAGAGTGCTTGTGAATTGGTCTCCAAGGGACGAGGAAGAAATGCAAAGACTCAGGAAGAAAATAACGTTCTGTGTCTCCACAGAGTAACTTCCTGCAGAGCTTCCTGTCTCTGACATTGCCCAAAGGAGGGAGCAGGCAGCTCGGTGGGCTGAGCGTTCTGTGGCTGAAGTTGCTCCTGAACATGTCGCTCGGAGAGGATGGGCAGCAGATGATCCTGAGGCTGGGCGGCTGCTTGGACCTGCTTGCGGAGATGAGCAAGTGCAAGCACAAGGGCAGCCCCGAGGTGCCTCTTCTTATCTTTCATAATATTTGCTTCAGTCCCGCCAGTAAGCCCAAGATCCTGGCCAACGGTGAGTGTTCGCGTTTCACACGCACACGCCTGTTGATACATGTGGGTATCCGTAGCGTGTTCTGCTCAGATTAAAATAGAAGGTGGTGGCATCAGTAATCACCAGGTATCTGCTCGGTGCACATGTCCCAGGCACAGGGGAGGCGGAGGCCGTGGGAACCGAGCAGCCTGACCCCTGCGCCCAGCCGTGAGCGGGCATGGCGCCAGCCCCCAAGCAGCTGCTGAGTCTCCCGGGGTGAGTGCACCACGTCACTGGTGGACACAGTGGCCCCGGGGCGAAGCTGGGGGGAGGAGCAGCGCGTGGGCGCTTCGTGGCTCCGCTCGACCCCCTCGCTCCCCGCCTTGGTCCCATCGAGCCTGGTACAGACCCCCCTCCCCCCGCCAGCTCTCCCCCTCTGTGTCCTTTCCCGTTTCCCGTGGCATCAGCGCCAGCTGATCTCCGCCCACTGCAGCAGAAGCGCTTACGAGGCCGACAGGTTTTTGTCTCTCGTTCCCGGTTATCTGTCGCACCTAGAATTGTGCCTGTCACTAGTGAGCCCTCAGTGAGTCGAGGTCCTGAGCAGGCGGGAGTGCCGGCGACCCAAGGCCACATGGGGAAATTAGATTTGCGGAGACTTTATTCTCTGAGGCGTGGGACAGACAGAGGCGAGCCTTGGTGAGCAACGAGAAACATTTTGAAACGGAGAGAAAGGGAAAGATCCGTTTCTGTACCCATGTGCTGTTTCCGTGGGGAGTGTGTGAATTTCATAGGGAGAGCATTTCATAAGGAGATGCCGTGTGACTGTGAAGAAGGAAGAGGTGGGCTGTAGCCCCCCACGCACCTGGTGCTGCATGCCAGTCCCACCTGCCCTCACTCCAGCATCACCTGGTGCAGCTTCTCGGGGTCCAGTGTCTTCAGGGGACAGAAGCCAGGACCCTCCCAGATGGGGCGTTAACCGTCTGTGTTAAGCCGAACTCCAAAGCAGCAACCTCTCAGGCGCAGGAGGGATCAGAATGAGGTTGGTCCCCAACCCTCACACCTGTCACTATAAAGAGAAGGAATAACAAGTGTGAGAATGGGCACTGCAGATGGCCCCTGACCGCTCGCACCCCAGAGATGTGTAGCCCGAGTGGCCCATGACCTTGGTTTGAGCCAATTCTTGATTGACTGTGCCTCAAGGAGCTTAGCAAAAGCAGACTTTCCCGCTCATGCATGGAGGGCAAGTTCATATGAGGCCTCAGGGAACCTCCACGAATAATTTTCAAAGGCGTTAACCAGCGCACAGTTAAAGACGACCAAGCGTATCAGGAAACACGGCGACGTGAGTGAGAGCCAGAGCGGGGATGAGAGCCTCAGACTTCAGGCGTTGGAATCGTAAACCACGGATTTAAAGATAACTCTAACGATGCCGTGTCTAGATAAACAACAACTGCGAAAGCATTTGCAGGGAATAGGAAACTTAAAAATGGAAAGATTCGAAACAGGAGCCAAACAAAACTTCTGGAACTTAACTGTCCAATAAGATAATCAATTTGCCCCATGTAGCTATTTAAATTAATTAAAGTATTCAGTTTGTCAGTCGCGCTAGCTGCGCGTGGCTGCTGGCCATCTTACTGGACAGCACACTTAGGAATATTTGTCTACTTTTCGCGAGTTCTGTTGGACAGCGCTATTCTGGATCCTTGGTAGCAGACGCCAGGCCTCAGCGTGCATGTCTGGCAGCCGCGTGTGCTGGGGCGGGGAGAGGACGTAGGAGTTGGAACACGGATCAGAACACGGAGAGCTGGCAAGGGGAGGAAAGGGTCAAAGAACGAAGCGCAGAACGAGGGAAGGGCCGGGGCCGGCTGCGCGTCCGAGGGCCTCGTGGGAGAGGGTGCTGGAGGCGGCGTTGGCCGAATGTTAACAACTGTTTTAAGACAGAAATCTGCAGAGTCCAGAGACTCAGCCAGTTCAGTAAAAATAAACCCTGCATGCATCACAGTGAATCTGCAGAAAACTAAAGGAAGATAAGATGAAATGGACTCTTGCTCTGATGAAAATAACTTAGAAAAATTTATTCAAGAAAAAAAAAGGTCCGGTAACTATGAAAGACACTGAGTAGTGAAAAATCTAACTACACATAAAATTCTAGTTCCCAAATACTTTACCAGTGAATTCTACCAGACTTTTAAGCAACATGTAGTTCCAGATGGACCAAACTCTTAACAGACAGGGAGGAAGTGGTCGCTCATTTTGTGAAGCTAGCGTAGCTTCGTTAGCCAGACCTGGCAAGGACAGTGTTCTGGTGAACGTTTAAGTACTGGCTCTCGGTGGGTGAAGATGAGGTTGGACGTATATTAAATATGTAGAAATTCTATTGTGTATATAATACATAATATACAAATTGATAAATTTTACTGGTATAATGAGTGTGTAGCACACAACCTCCAGACTGTAGTACAGTACACAGTGCTCTGTATTGTTCCTTCTGCCCGGCCAGTCGATGCTCACAGAATGCTCTGTATTGTTCCTTCTGCCCGGCCAGTCGATACTCACAGAATGCTCGCACTGGCTCCAGCTGGACCCTTGCATCTGTAGCAGGTCTGTGGTTGCAGTTTAGTCGCGATTTGGCAGATAGAATTGTATCCCAATCTGCTCTCTACCCAATAAATTTATTGTCATTAAATCTGATGTGCACTATATATTTAACAACTATTTCTTGCCCTTGTACAAAATATATTCACAAAGCGGAAACCTCTTTCAGCTTTTCATGAATTCATCTCTGTAGCATTGGTTGATTTTCATGGTGTAAATACACTTACTGTAGTCAATTAGCCATCCCTAAACTTAGAATTAAATCAGTATCATTAGGAAGAAAGGCAATAAATATTCAACACCCTTCACTTTCTAATTATTTAACTACATTTTACGATTATCTATTCTCTTGAGGTTATCTGTATCTTAATGTGGCAGGTTACTTATACCTACTTATTAAACTTAAAAGTATTTTATGTGTTTTAAAATTAATTAAAATACTGTAGACAGAATATTAGTTTTAGATTTACGAACATTTTGTATGTCTATTTCACAATAAAGTGTGTTTGTGAAAAAATTGACCCCTTTCCACTTATTAGGATGGCTTCCACATTAATTGACCTATACTTTATTAAAAGTTTTTAAGAGATAGTAACTGCTAAAAGGAGTTATTGTAAACTTATTTAGATCAGGGGTAATACATTCTGAGTGTTGATACGATGCATGAAAACATCACTCGATACTCAGATGGAACGCACCGTTTGGTGATGAGTCCTAAGAGTATCAGCTGCCACCTGTAAGCTCACGGGTAGAGTATGATGCAGGAGAAGCAGGTGGCAAGGCAGTGGGGGTAGTCATGTATTATAGAGGACAGGTAATTCGATACAATTTAATATATAAAAAAAAGTAATAAAATTGTTTCATATATCGTTCTAAAACACCCTGGTAATCTTTTTGGCACTAGACTTGTCTGCATCTTCACTTAAATGAGCAGGCCACTGCAGTTCATTTCTAAGGCTTGATTTCATGCTCTGGCCAGCTTTTGTAAGAAAGGAGCAGCTCTTGTGTATTGACACACATTCATTCATTCATTCATTCATTCATTCATTTATGCATGCTTTCAAGGTCACATTTTAAAAATAATTTTTTATTTTTCAGTTACAGTTGACATATAATATTATAAGTTTCAGGATTACAACACAGTGATTAGACATTTTTGATATGCCTTTAAATCAGTTTTTCCTCTGACCCATATATACACACACACAAAAACGTTCCCCTACAGTGTTTAGCCCTTGTTTAAAAGGTTTAACTAATATGGTACTTCTTTATTATTTTATATAGTAGCCCAAGGTATTGGTATGTTCATATAACAGTCTTTATACTTTATCACAGGAGCAGATCTGTTTTCCTGGGCACCAGAGTGTGAGCTGTAATTGAAGAGCTCGCTACTATAACTCAGGTGTCATCACTCCTCCACTACTGTCTTTAAATGAACGCGCCACGGCTGAATCAGGGCCAGAAACAGCGAGGCCGCGGCTGCCGCGCTGACCGTCCGTGCCTGTCGTGCTAGCGGCTGGTGCTGAGGCTGAGGCTGAGGCTGAAGCCAAAGCCTCATGGTGTACAGGGCCGTTCTTGCCAGAGTCCAGGGCTGCCCCTTCGTGTGTCTTCTGATGCGGGGAGAGGGGTCTCTGACTAGTAAGATAAGGATACAATGCAATATCTGGGACTGAACTATTCGCTTTTTAATGTTTTTATCAGAAAAAGTCATTAGTGTGCTGGTCGCCTGTCTGGAAAGCGAGAGTCGAACCGCTCAGAGGATTGGAGCAGCCGCGCTTTGGGCTCTGATTCACAACTGTCAAAAGGTCAGTGTTAAAATCTTTGTCACTCCTGAGGGACAAACGCCGAGTCTCTCAGGGTGCATCCAGGGACCTCAGAGGAGAGTCAGCGAGAGAGAAAATGAACTCAGCGTGGCCCCCGTGCGGCCGTACAGTTAGTAAACCTTCCGCTGGACTCTTTCGTTGAATCATTCCAGCAGGGCATCTCATTTCAGAAGTGTCTTTTTTTGAGTGAATTTTCCCTATTAATATAAATTCATTAGCCATGTGGGTGTAACGTTGTCATAGATTATTTCTGTGAGAAGACGTGTCAAGGAAAAAAGAAAATGCTCTGGAAATAAGAGCATCATGCTCTGGCCAGCTGCTCCACAAGAGCTGTTCCTTTCTTACAAATAAACGCATCTGGCAATAAGACCAAAAACCGAGGCTGTATCCATTCGCACGGTTCCTCTGCCTCTGGAACGGGTCATTGCTGAGTTTTGAAGTGAGCTCAGTCGTGGGGCTGCAGCGCAGAGCTGGCCTGGGGACGGCAGGCGGCTGGGGACTTGTCCCTGCTCTGTCCCTGGCCTCTGGTCTCTCATTGCAGACGCCTCCTGAGGGAAATGCCCACGCGTGTCTAGCGATCAAATAGTGGCCAAGCGACAGTGCTGGGTAGACAGCCATCGCGGACAGTGCTCCGTCAGGCCGTCCCCTGGCTGTGCAGCTCGTTCTCCCTGCCGGGTGGCTTCAGTGCCACGTGACCGACGCTGCTGCTCTCACTTTCAGCCGTGCATCCGTAGGGCTTAGCACAGGGTTTGGCACTTTGTAGTCACTTAGTAAATATTTGTTGATCAACTGGTAACGTTTGACGTACTTGATCTGAAATTGGAGGTTTGAAGGAAGATGAAATGACTAAAACAAGATTAAGTAGTTTAAGGTAGCAAATTGAGATCGGGAAGAAGGGATGGAAGGAAAGGGAAGAGAAGGAGCACAGAGAAAGCAGATGGGGCAGGACGTGGGCGATGGCACAGTGGGGTGCACTAATACATAACTCCCGAGCTCCATTATATCTTACAACATCCTGTTTTATCCTGTAGTCAGCAATGGCAGAATTTGTCTGGGGTTTCCCGATCCTTAACACGCGGAAATAAATCTAATTAATGGATTTCGTTCTATGCTCTCCCCAGGCGAAAACAACTTTGAAAAATCCATCAATAAAAAGAAGAGTCGATGAAGCATATTCCTTAGCAAAGAAAAGTAGGTTTCATTTTGAAAGACTTTACAGTTAAATTTGGACTTTACAGTTAAATTTGCTATCAAGTGAATTCTTGACTAATGAAATATTAGTCAAGTTCACAGCAAAATGACAGTTTTTTACACTGATGTTCACACTGATGTTTGAGGAGTCTTTTCGTCAGATCACTGTAAAATGTGCCGGTATTTGGTCCGTGCTTTTCATTATGACGTTTTTTAAATAGTAAAATACAATAGTGTCTTGAAACGTGTCTGTGATCTTTCTCTAAGTCATTTTTTTTCCTTGTACTAAACTTCCTTGGCCAGTTGCGGCTGCTGTGCTAACGTGTGTTCTTAGGTAGTAAGGACAGGGACCAATTAGAATTGACCTTAACAGAAAACTGATCTGACATCCGGGAGTTGAATCACAGTCTTCCAAAAATAGATCCCTTTTCCCCTGTATCCATCAGCCCTGCAATGCGATCATGATGTGAGGCGGGGTCTCCCTTTTAAACTGCGCTTTTCATTTTAAATGGCAGTTTTCAGCGAACAGTATTCTCTGGACATTTTTTATGCTAAGACACCGAAGTGTGTCTTTCCTGTACTGTGCTTGATCTGTGTTTTCATAGTCTGATTTTTTTATAAATGGCTTGTGGGGTTTTTGTTTTGTTTCTGGCTGTGACCGTGAACTTCTGGAGGTCGTGAGTCACTGAGTTCTGTTAGCCTGTAGGTGTCAGGAGGAATGGTGCATAAAAACAAGGCATTCATTCGGGATTACAGATAATGCATCCATTATGGAGGTGTATTGCTTTTTATTTATACTCTTTGGCTAAACCATTAATAAAAAGTAACTATAAATTTTGTAACTTAATATTTTCACAATGTAAAACATCCTTAGAATGCTAGTCCATCAGGTAGTTAAACAGGACCTTAAGTTGCGTGTGGACCTTGTTGGTGAATGTGTGTGTGTCCACTCTTCAGCGTGGCACTAAGTGTAACAGACGTGCTCTTCCACACTCTTCTTTTTCTCTCCTAGATTTTTCAAACTCAGAAGAAACCCCTCAAAATGCCTATTATTTGAAGTGTCTTGAAAACCTTGCTCAGCAGCTGAGCTCCTCCTGAGCGCCAACTGCCCTGAAGGCTGCGGGGCTGTGGCCCGAGCCAGTGGGGCCAGTAGGACGCGGAGCCAGTGGGACGCGGCCTCAGGCTCGGCTGCAACCTGAAGACGGCCGGCCCTCTGCAGGGCGGACGGGAAGTTGAGTGGTGACACCCACGTGCTGTCCCTTCATGTTGCACCAGCTCTGTAAGTAAGAGTGGCTGGCAAGACGATGGGAAAGGAAAGGCACAGCAAGTTCTGGGAACTTAAACATTTTCATTTTTTTCTATGCAATTTGCTTTGTATAAATCCTATTTAACAGTTATTTAATAAAGTATTTTTTAGAAACTGAGAATTGACTAATAGTTGCTGTTTGCAGACATTTATCAGTCCCATGAATATAAATTTTAGGAATTGGAAGAAGACATTATGTTCTGATTTTTTTTTAATTTTTTACATGAAACATGGCTCTTATCAATACAAATTCTTAGTTTTCAAATCTTTATATTATCCAGAATGTACACATTGGTGAAGGGATATTTGCATGTAAATGTATATGTTTTGTGAGTAGTTTCTTTCTACAAATTTTAATCATATTAACTCCTTTCCAGAGTATTTATAAACATTATACTCCTTTTACCTTACAACTTCTGAAATGCTGTGTAATCAAGTAGGAAGAAATAGAGTTTACAGTCACGTTGGCCCTGGTTCAAGTTCCGGCTTAGCCCAGTGTCGTGAAGATCAAGACTGAGAACTCCGGCAGGGCCCAGCTCTGTACGCCAGGCCGAGCCTCTTAACCAGCGTGTGGTTTTGAACTCAGAACTTCAGGCTAAATCAGTTCACATTTTGATCACTTTCAGCCATTTTCCCAACACTTTTGAAAGTAAGAAGAGAAAATTGTACCTAAGAAATAAAAGGTAAAAGCTGATATAGACATATATAGAGAGAGATATATGTATGTATCGTGGGTGTGTGTGTACACACATACATACACGTTCACTTAGGAAGAATTTTTCTTATTGAATCATGGTTAACCAGAACAAAGTACCATTTTTAAGTGCTGTTATTAGCAAATCAGAAAAATTTTAAAAAGCCATGTGATGTTATTTAAGCTGGAAATGTGAGGACAAAATATATGTTAAATAGTGAAATAGAAGCAGAGAAATTTGTGTCTGAAAACTATTGATTAGCGATCTGAAAAATAGGTTTAGGAAGTTCAGAAGTTTCTAAGGAGCACAAGTAATTTGGAAGCAGTGGACATGCCCATATTCTGAAAAATTCACCAGTTCTAAGAGCGGGAATCTCAGGAATTATTTCTACCCTTTCTCCTGGTTTCTTTTATGTCACTTTCTCGGTATTACCTTGTAAACCCTCCTGGATGAAAATGAGATGGATTTCTTTGTACCTTCCATTAAAGAACTCTGCGTCACAGGCGCTGGTCTGAGGATGATTTTTATGTAACGTTTTCCTCTAAAGTGCTGCCGTCCAGCTGTCAGGGGTGAATGACCGGAGGCTCAGAGGGCCTGGGTCACGCGTTTGCGGCTGGTGCTTAGTGAAGCTGGGAGTGGAACCCAGGGGAACGAACAAGCCCGAGGTTTTTAACCACCGTGTTTCGCTACCTCCTTTTTTTCCCCTCGTTGATATTCCGGCCTTTGTGTTATGGTCTTATAGATAACTCCCATTTTTCTACAAAAATTGGGTCTCTTCAGGGAAATGGTCGTTTCCTTTATGGTTCGTTGACTGACTGGCTGACGTGTCAGGGTGCGCTCTGCCTCCTGTCTTTGGGGTGAGGAGGCATCGTAGTTGATTATCTTCCGTAGCAGTTCCGGACAGCCCTAGCCGGGGGGGCTGGTGACCCAGCAGCAGACCAGAGATGTTACCTGCTGAGGCCCAGAAGGACCGCCACCCCTGGAAAGAGGGGGAGGGCGCGGCTTCAGGGAAACTCACACTGGTGTGTGTCGGGGTCCAGGGCTGTGGCCCTTAGGCATGTCATGCTCTGGAGGGGCGTGTCTGTCCCCACAGTCTGTGTCTCTTCAGATTGTGTCCAGCCTACCCGTGTGGGAGCTGTTAAGCAGAAGGCCCCTGCGGTGACTGGCCACGAGTTCAGCAGCTGCCATGGCGCTACGTTGGGGACCCACCAGCATCAGAATCCGCCAGGAGACTTGAAATGCAGATTCCCGGGCCCCTGATCTGTAGTCGTAATGCGCAAGCTCCCCAGGTGATCCTTACACGCAGCACAGTGAGCCCCCGACTTTACAGGAAGCTGCTGAGAACCTGAAAATGACAACACCACTCATACCTAGTGCTGAAGTTAGAACTTGAACCTGGGCTCTCGAATGCTGACGTGGTTTTTCCATCACGCATCTCTAGCATAGGCACAGACCCAGAAAACGGCCGTTGGGGACTGGTTCGTGCCTTATGGCCTCCAGATTTCCCATGTCCTGGCCTTTCTGGTCGGCCAGGGCAGGGGGTGTCTGCGCTGGGGGTGCACGCGAAGGCTGTGTCGTGTTAAGCAGGGCACACAGACAGTGGCACCAAGGCTTCTGGACTGAAGGTCTTGAGTTTAGGGGAGCAGCCAGCTGCTGGTTTCGAAAACAGGAAACAATAGGTAGCTGGTCTAGCTGCAGCCTCTCCCGGCTCTTCCTAAAATCGCTTTCAAAACAGCATTCGGATGTACTTTGCTGCTCTGTAAAGAATGGAGCGAAAAATAGAACTTGCCCATTTAACTGCAGGTCACCAATTTTCCCTGGAGCGTGAAATGCAGTCGTCATCCGCAGTAGTTTTCCATCCTCAGCCTTCGTGGCCGTGCCTCGTCTGCCCCCCGTTTCCTGACCTGTGATGTCCCTCAGACCCGGCAGGCTGACGGGAATAATGCTCACAGCCCGGTCCCTGCCGCAGCCAGGCGTGCGTGTGTGTGTCCACACCGGGGACGTGCACGAGGGCCCTCAGGGTGTCATGCTCTGGAGTCGGCCCTGCCCCCGCCCACAGCGTGGGGGCCGTCTGTCCACCGCAGCTGGGGACAAAGACACCTGCCTCATCAGTACCACCAAGATGTGTAATTTGTCCCGTAGATGTTAATCTATACAGTCATTTGTCCCGTAGATATTATCAATGGTTGATTAATTTAGAAGGTTCTCAAAAAACGTTCGTCGTGTGTGTCCTTGACACCCCTCTCTCCCTCTGGGGAGGGGGATGTGCCCGGAAGTGAGGCGCTTTGTCAGACTCGGGTTCCCTCATCACGAAAGGACAGTCGGTTTCCAGCGGAGATGCGCGTCCACAGTCCCCGGTCCCCGAGGGCCGGACACTCAGCAGGCCGCACGGGGAACCTGCACGTCGCCCAGCACGGCACAGCGGTGTCGAACACACTAGGGTGACCCAGCGCCTTTCACTCCGCCTGTCACGCCTCGATCATCAGCTGGTGGAAGCGCTCTTTCTCCACGGGAATTGTGAAAACGGAAAACAACAAATTAGAACCTTCGCAGCCAAAAGAAAGTTGCAGTGTGAGCTCTTTCCGCCTGTTGCTGGCCTGTGTGACCCCGAGACTTAGCGGGGAGGAATGATAACCTGCTGCTGCTTCTGTGGTTAGTGAACTTCGTTTGGGGCAACTTAGACTTTATTCTTCCTAAGTTAAAAATCATCCCTCATGGGAAAATCCCAGTAAAACTACGTGATAAGTCAGCGGGGGCAGTGACATCAGACCTCGAGGCTCAGGATGGACGGGAACTGTGCCGGGACCCCGAGGTCCAGCAGCGAGACCTGGGAGCTGGGCCTGCTTGCGACGTTCACCTTTGTTCTGTTTGCCTCTTCTGCGTTTGCAGACTCTGCTTCAGAAAAAACTCCGCTCTTTTAAAATGATGGTTCACAAAAGATCCATGAAGTAACATTCGGTAAATTTCTCTTTAACCAATTTTGCATAAAAGCCAAGAGAAAAATAGGTGCTTTAATGTAGACTTCAAGGAAAAATTCTCACACGCATTTGTCCCTCCCCTGGTTTGGCCTCTGCCGGTGGCTGTGGCTTCAGTGTCTGCATCCTGTCTGGTTCACTTGGGCACCGGCGTTTATGGTGACAAGTTGCTTGCAGTCCTGTACAGATCCTGAAAACACGATTTCCTCAGATGCTCCATCAGACGTCCTTCCCTGGGCTTACCACGGAAAGAGATTATAAAATGGAAAACTTTTTAATCTTCTGACGATAATCCTAAAGAGTGGACCACAGAGAACCAGCTCATGGATGTAATACCTGGTTAGAGTTACTTTCGTGTCTGTTAGGCAAAGCCGTGGCTGCACAGACTACAAGTCTAAAATAATAATGCCTTTAGTCAGACAGGAGTTCCTTCCTCTGTTTTCTGTTTAATTGCTTTCTTCCACATTCAGGAGGCCCCAGGGGGCAGTCCTTGGCAGACAGTGTCCTCAGGGCCTCAAGTGCCCACCCTGTGCTCTGCCCGCTTTGATGCATGCTTCCTCCAGCAAGTCACTTCGTGGACTTTGAGAAGGAAACACAGCAGAGGAGTACCCCAGCTTTCTGTGACCCCTTTAAGGAGGCTCCCGAAAGTCCAACCACCTGCCCTCACATCTTCTGGGACACAATGTGGCCATGTGGGTCACTCACAACTGCAAGAGAGGCCTTTCGCCTATAGCCCATTAGCCGGGCTCACGGCCACATCCAGTAATGCAGGCTGGTTGAAAAGGGGCCAGCGTTCAGGCGACCACTAGGCTCTGCCCCACAGGCTGACGTTCTGGATGATTAATAGAAAAATGTGGCATAATTAAGGGTAAAAGTATCATCCTCCCAAGTAAAATATAACAAGAGGTGAGATGCTGATTGAATTTATACAATCTGCATTTAGAGCTAGAAAGCGTAATGTCAGAGAATGAAGTAAGATGTCTCTCCAGTGGGACGGCAGACGCCCTGTGTGGAGCGTCTCCCGTGACGTTGAAGCCTCGGCCGTCAGAACTCACCTGCCTGTCGTGGAGAAACATGGCAGGGAGGTAATTGAAAAATTAAAAAGCAGATGTACCTTCAGAAGTTTATTTCAAACACAGAAATGTGAATTCGTCGTCCAATCTCTTGAAGGGCCGAGGCCTTGTGTGAAGGTCGCTCCTTCGTTGGCACTGAGACTGTTTTGGGTTTGCTGGTGCATCGAGACCGTTTCTGGAAGTGGACCAAAACTAAGACACCTATCAAGGGATCTCAACTCCGACTGCTTCCAGATTTCCGCCCCCCCCCCCCATTCTATCCAGGAATTCTTTCAGATTTCTACTATTTCTGACTTTCTTTTGCAATTAACTCCCCACAACAAGTTCAACAACAATTTATAAGCGATTCCTTGTCACCAGTTCTTGCCAAGAATTCAACTTAGTTCTCGTAGAACTAAGTATTTTTCATCTCGCTTCTGTCAGTATTTAACCAAATCCTCTAATTCCGGCAGTGAATCTAAGTGGCACACAGTCACGGTCAGCACGAAACTCGCCTAGTAGGAGCCGGAGAGGGGCCTGTGCTGGAGCGAAGTCCCCGAGCACCCTGCACGTGTGCTCTGGCGTTGGCCAGTACGTGTGTTGGGAGAAAGGAGAGAATTGTTAATTCTTAGCAAATCCATTCTTTGGTGGCCAATTAGGAGAGGTCGTATTACACTATGAGCTTTCAAGATTGCTTGAAACTTTGACTGTCTTCTGCTTCGTTTTTGTGGTTAATCCGTGCCTGGCTCCCTAGTATGAGACACAGATCACCAGAGGATACGTTACTTGCTCAGACGTTATTCTCAACTCGCTTCTCCTCCTTCACATCCTCTAGCTGGCTGGTCCCGCCCTCTCTCCTTCTGCCTCTGCGACGTGTTCTTCAGCTTCCTGCCGCCCGTGTGCCTCCCTCCCTCACGCCCACCCACCCTCACATTTCCATCTCTGCCTGTTTTAAAAGGCCAAGAATGAATGTCACCTTTCCCACAGAGCTGTGTCAGATTCCCCAGCCGAGAGGAAATTCTTTATTCTTTGAGTTTCCAACACCAGTTTTAGTTGAGGGTTTTTTAAAGCTTTTATATCACTTAGCCCTTTTCCCCTCGTCTTATGCTGATTTGCATATGGTCCTTGTTCCCACCATCTGCTTGCCGTGACTTCTGACCGAGCTCGTAACTCCTTGCCTCCCAGTGCCTTGCATGAAGCAGGTGCTCAATTTGTATTTGAATGAATGAATGAATGAATGAATGAATGAACGAACGAACATGGAAAATATTTTATTAGTAAAAGCTGCAGAATTTCATAGTGTAAGACTAAAAATTATGTTGACCGTCAAAATATACACAGCCATATGTATTTCTTTAAGAGAATAGATTTTTGTTCTAAAAGTAAAGAATAAAAGCCAAAAAGCACCCTTAAAATACCTTAGAATATATTTTCATTCAGTAGAGAAAGAAAAAAAATATTTTAGATACGATTTGAAA